CCCGAGCAGCATGCTCTGTCAGGTCAGTGGCTGACAAGCCCTTCAGCAGCCCTCCATAGGTGCCAAATGGAGTCCGCTTTGCTGCAACGATGAATACACCTGCAAGAGAAGCAAGAATTTTGCAGCTGGACAGAGCAGGGAATAGCTGGTCTGCCTTATGTTCCTTTCTATGAGATATCAGAGAGATATATGAGATACCAAAGAGAATGAATACATTAAAAAATTTGTACAGAGTGTACTAGGTAGAAAATGACGAAGTTACCCTCAATTGAGTAACAGTTTGCAAGAACCCAAGTAGTTCAAGACAAGTGATATAGGATGCAGCAATACTTCAGGTGGGGGAGATATGCCAGAATTAAGTCAGAAGGAAAAGCTGGGAAGACTCCACGAGTATCCCTTTTCCAAGAAAAGGTTTAGAAAAAGGAGACGTTTTAGCTATGGAGAAGACACACTACATCAGACATTAATGACAGTGTTCTACAGGCAGGAAAGGAACATCTGTAAGATCCCGCAGTGGACACACCTGTGAAATAATCTGTTATTGAGCTGTTGTCAATGCTTGACCAGAGGGACCCCAAGGGGATTTCAGATCAAACAAAGCTCTGCCCTAGCCAGGACACCTCCTGCTCACAACAGCTCCGTGCTGTGCCAGAACAAGCAGGAACAGGCTCTGAACTTTCCCCTAGTTGAACAACAGAGCTCACATGCCCACTTGCAGTTGCCACAGAACGCCTGCTGGTATTTTAAGTAATGCAGGAGAGATATATGCAGATAGAAGAATAATTGCAAATGGAAATGTCTGCTTATTAAGCTCAATTGCTTCCAAAGTTTCTCATCCACTGCCTTTATCACTCTTGTCAGAGTCCAGGTGCTCCTCCATCTCTCATATATTCAGATCCCAGATCACATGCTCTCCAGGAAAGGACTTTCCAAACTGCTGAAGAGCAGCCTTGCTGCACTGACAAGTCCTAGCATTGCAATAGTTATGCTCAGAAGATGATATGGGAGATCCCCTAGCACAGACTAAGCAAGAGTTGCAGCTTCAAGGATAAGGAAGAATGTGATAAACAACATGGATTTTTAAACCATAAAAAACAGGAAAACAAAATGATCCTTCACACCTAGATGCTACCCACGGGCTTATTTCTACAGTATTAAGGAGACCTTAGAAATAAGTCTTTGCTAAGCACACTGTTGCTGCTCCCTTAAAGTGCTGATATGCTGTCTATTCAAAAACTGTAAGACGCAGCATTTATTTTCTGCAAGGAGTAAGTATGATTACAGAACCACAGAAAGACTTGGCTTGGAAGCGACCTAAAAGATAATGCATCCAAAAAGCCCACTCTTCAGGTTATTAAGTGTAGCCGCTAAAACACGTATCTCTGAAGAAGTCCCTGTGTGTTCAGAGGTCAAAAAGGAATGAAGGCGGTGCTGCAGGCTTGGAACAAACACTACAAACTTACCCTTCACAAGCACACACTGGAGCAAAAATGAGGCTGCCTGTTGTTTTTCACTCATTTAATCATAATTCAAACCCTGTTTTAAAGGCCTGCTGATGTTCCTAAGCTTACTCTCCCAGCAGCACAGCCCTGACTGTGCCTCTGATCCAGCACTTCACTGATTCCTGCCCATCTCCTCCACAATTGTGCCTGTACAGCTGCTGCCAGCACAGGCTCCTGACTAAGTCAGCAGAATTTTCTCTCCTTTTGACCAGCAGGTTGGATATCTGCTGAATCACAAAGCATGGCTTTACAAACAGACAGGGGCTGGGGACTTTGCACTTCAGCCTTTGTTTTACAACACCTCTCTTTCAGCCCCACTGCCCACATCTCCCAGCTGCTATGGGGCAGCTCCATAGAACTGATTCCAGACAAAGTGAGAAGGCAGGGATGAACTGCAAGGAAAGAAGGAAACCACAACCTCACCCAGCAGCCAAGTTATGCCAAACTGAACCAATCACAATAGAGTTTGGAGTGTAATTACTCTGATTTTGGATGATGGGAGAGACAGCTCCTACAGGTGCTCCTGAGCTGTAGGAGGAATCAAAAGCTCAACTGGAAAAATATCTGGAAAAATAAATGAGGGTTTAAGCACACACTGCCTGACCTGGATCACAGAATTAGTTTGGGCTGGGAGGGACCTCAAAGATTGTCTCGTTCCAGCAGCCCTACAGGCATGCTTGCAAGTGGGTGGATTCCAAAGGCAAAAACAGACGTTGCAAATCCTCTACGCAACTGTTACTCCCGGGGTAGAGGGATTGTTCTGGACCTGTAAACAGCTAAAAGCAGCCCTATGAGAAGCGAAGAGGGAAGAACGGTGTGGTGTCGGCAGCTGAGCGCACAGACAGGCGACCACCAACACCCGCAGCCAGCCCAGCTCCGCAGAAACGTCCAAGCAACCCGCTTCAGGAGCTGACGGAGCTTCCCGCAGCCGCTCAGCTGTCGGTACGACCACAGGCAGAAATTACCACACGGACGCTCCCAGGCCCGCGCCCCGGTCTGCCCACACCGGGACCCTCGGGCCGCGCTGAGGGACCCACAGACGGCGGGAAGCCGCCCGACAAGAACCGAGAGAGGCCGAAAGAGGCCGATAAGGGCCGAAAAGCGTCGAAAGGCGCCGAGAAGAGCCGTGAGGTGCCGAGCGCCAGCAGAATCCTCACCTCTCAGCAGCGCCATGGTCCGCGCCGTTCCGCTCTGCCGCCTGCGCCGCCCGCTCCGCCACGCCACGCCACGCCACGCCACGCCACGCCACGCCCCTCCGCACATTCGTCACGCTGCGAGCGAGGGAGGCACTGATTGATTGACGCTTTATCAATCCGCTCTAAATCTGATTTTATTTATTCGTTTTCGGTTTTATTTAAGGCTGATTTAATTTCTTTCCTTCCTCGTCGGCTTCCCGAGCCCGGAGGCGAATCGGCTGTGAGGCAACGGCGGCTCGCAGCGCGTTGCCTAGCAACGGCGGTGGGGTAGGCCTCAGGCGGAGCGGCCTGCGGGGCGTTTGGGAACCGTGGGCGGGCGGCAGAGTGGTTCTCGGGCTTCTGTCAGCCGCCTCTACCAGCACAGCCGCCACAGAGAGCCGCGGGGATTTCCAGACGGCTTCCCTGTGCTTGGCCCCTGTTTTGGTTGGGGAATCCTCCCCCCAGAACGCCACTCGAAGCTCTGTTGTTTGAGGAGAGGTAGCATCTGTATGAGTAAAATGTGCTGACAGAGCAGTTCTAGCTGCCAGAAGAAGGAGGATGGGCAGAAACACTTTATTATGTATATTGCCGTATGGCTTCAGCTAAAGAATTTGAGAATTAAAACATTTATTTGAGGTTTATCCTAGGAGAATGAGCATTTTTTATTTAAAAAAAAAAAAATCTACTGTTTTGCTTATAATTCCATTGATTTCATGAATCTGGTTGCAGTGACATATAATAACCTTAAGAAAAAATGGGGGTAGGAATAAAGAAAAGATATTTCATGTTTTCCCTTTTTGCCACCAGCATACCTCTGATCACTTCAGCCCACAAAATCACAGAATGGCCTGTGTTGGAAGGGACCTCAGGGATCATGAATCTCCAACCCCCTGCCACACGCAGGGCCACCAACCTCCACATTCAATACCAGCTCAGGCTGCCCAGGGCCCCATCCAACCTGGCCTTGAACACCTCCAGGGATGGACGGGGCATCCACAGCCTCTCTGGGCAGCTGTTCCAGCACCTCACCACTCTCATAGCAAACCACTTCCCCCTGACATCCAACCTCAATCCTTCCTCCCTCAACTTAAAACCATCTATTTCCCCTTGTCCTGCAGTTATCCACCCTTTCAAAGAGTTGATTTCCCTCCTGTCTGTAGGCTCCCTTTAGGTACTGAAGGCTGCAATGAGCTCACCCCGCAGCCTTCTTTTCTCCAGGCTGAACAAGCCCAGCTCCCTCAGCCTGTCTTTGTAGTGGAGGTGCTGCAGCCCCCTGATCATCTTTGTGGCTCCTCTGGACCCTCTCCAACAGCTCTCTGTCTTTCTTGTACTGGGGGCTCCAGACCTGGGCACAGCACTGCAGGTGGGGCCTCACAAGAGCAGAGTAGAGGGGGACAATCACCTCCCTGTCCCTGCTGGCCACCCCTCTTCTGATGAAGCCCAGGATCCCATTTGCTTTCCGAGCTGCAGAGCACACTGCTGGCTCATGTTAAGCTTTTCATCCATCAGAACCCCCAGGTCCTTCTCTGCAGGGCTGCTCTCAAGGACTGCTCCTTCCAGTCCGTACAGCCTTGGATTCCTCCAGCCCAAGTGTAAAACCTTGCAATGTTGAACATCATTAGCTCCATTCAGTTCTGAAACCATAATACCTAATGCTCACTTCTATATGTAATTTAGAAATAGAGTGTTTCCAATATATAAATACTGAAATGTGTGTTTCATTCCCGTTTTTAACCAGAAATCACCGTTTCTTCTAAAGTGTTTCTTCTACAGTTCTTTCTCTATCCACAGTGGAATATTACAGTAACTGTTACAGCATTTTCCTTTTAACAAAGGCATAGTGTACAGATGTGTAAAAATGGAAAACTATTTAATAAGCAGTATCTCACTGCCAACATTCACTCCAATTTATCATTCTGCTTTGGCTGAGAAAGGGAGCTCTGCAGCTTCTCCAGTTGCCAGTGAAGGAAATGTGAAGAAATGTTCCAAGCAGTGTTCTCAGTGTGAAGAACTCCCATGCGACAGAGTGCAGCACTGCACATAACCATCATTACAGAAATTGCTGTGTTTGCAATTCTCACTTACAGCTAAAGGAAAACAAACCAATCTTTCCAGTCTGGGTGCCCTTTTTTTTTTTTTTTTTTTTTTTTGTGCTGTGTGCCTTGTCTAAAACAAACACAATCTCAGCATTTTAATCCAACCTACAAAACGTCTTGCAGCAGTGATGCCTCTTTCATTTTGCCACAACCTGTGTCATTTTGCATCCACACCTCTTAACGAGTCTGAATAAAATGCAGGGATTCATGTGAAAAAACACCTCCTCCTGCAACTCACCTGGGGGGTTTCCTGTGCTGTAAGTGCTGTGCTAAACTGTAATACATTTCTCCATCCAATGTATTTTTTTGTAAGGTCAGGATGGTATACAAGTTCCGTCATAGGGAAATAAACATACTGATCGGCTCTTCAGCGTACTTAACACGGAAGCTCAGAGAAATACGACTTTATAAAATTTAATTTGAAAACTGAAATGCTATGACTAAGAATCTCTGCGGTTAATAAACAGTTCCAGGATTGGAGCTGAGGGTGAATGGTCTCAGAGCCGCGCTGCAGTACCGCACTGAATCCGGAAGGTGGCGCAGTTCAACACAGCCGGCGGTGGGGCGGGCGCATGCAAATCTACCGCGGCGCTGAGCCAATCAGCTTCCACCGGGCGCGGAGCGGGGACAGACGGGAGCACAGCGGTCCGGTCTCCGAGCTCCGTCTGGAGCGCGAACGGAAAAAGAGAGAAGAGACAGCATGGAGTCTACGGGGAAAGGCCGTCCAGAGCTGTTGGTCCCGATACTGCTTCCAGCTCTGACTTCTAGGAGAGGACTCGAGAAGCCAAGGTGGCAATGGTAACTGGATGGGTAGAAAGCGTCTGTCTGTATATTCTATGCTGTTTTATGTGTGGTTGGGCTGGGTCTTAGCAATAAGTCTTATGGAGGAAGTTGTGCTTATGCTTAAGACTACGGAGTTTGCGCGGTCAGCTTGTTGCTAATGCAGGGTATTTTCCGAGCCGTGCTGTGCGTGGATGCTGGAAAACGGGAACGCTGTTCCTTGTCGCTCCGTGTCTCCATGGTAATAGAGTCTCCACGCCCTGGTACACGTGCGTCCGTGTTCCCGGAAGCAGCGTCTGATTGTCCTGAGCTCCTACGCCGCTATTATCTATGGTGTTCAGTCCTCCAGAAAGTGAAACGCATGCGCTCGGTAACGCGGAAGTTGAACCAGGGCCTCCTGACTATACCACGCATGCGCACGGCGACGCGCAGGTGCCGCCGTTCCGGTACGTGCAGTGCCGCCGGGAGCAGCAGAGAGCCGCTGCGCATGCGCGGTGCATGACCTCCGCTATGCTTTAGCACCCTTGCGCCATTCACTTGGAGGACCGACGGCCATAGAGCCTGCTGGAATCCGGAGCCTAGCGCGGCCTGCAGGAAGCCGCTATGTTTACTTCCTGTTGTGGCGGGTCGCAGCTACGTGGCGGTGCGGTGCGGGTCGTGAGGTCCGTCAGCAGCGCGGACCCTTAAGCTGCGTCTCTCGGAACGGCCCTGTGCCCGCCAGCGATGTCCCGTTCTGTACTCAGACTGACCCTTCGGGCCCTGCCGTGAGCTTTTCTCCCCAGGCTGATGCTGCAGCCGAGGCCCTGTGAGCGACAGTTACACTGCAGCACCCTTGCTAGCCAGGACGGCCTTTAGTTAAATTCTCTCTGTATTCTTAAAACGCTTCGTGGTAAGTGCTTCTAAGAAGGATGAACGAATCAGTTTTAAACTAACAACCACGTAACCTCATCAGAAACGCTGACATTGGATACCATATTACTTCCCACCGCACGTCCCCATCACGTTCTCCCTGCTTTTTGCCCAAGCAAGTCTTCCTACCAACAACACTTACGTCATTATTGTCCTCACACTCTCCTGTGCATTACCATGGGACGTGACAGGCCGTCCAACCCCATGTGCCCATCAGCTCCACAGTGTGCTGTAGAACACTGCAGAGACCTCTCAGTGTGCTCTTAAGTGCATTCTAGGGAACTTTTCCAGGGAAATCACCTCCCTGTCAATCAGATTCCACCACTTCAATCCCCTCTCACATTTCAAGGCAGCAAATAGCCTTCCTAGATTTCCCAAGAAGTCTCCCAAGGGTCCCAATGTGCTTTAGGGTACCCTACAACAGTCCCCAGAACCCCAGGGTATCCTAACATGGACCCCAGGGTCCTCTGTTGTGACACACAGGTCTCTCAGGGCCCTACAGCAAGCTCTAGGAGAAGCTATACACATTCCAGAGCTACTGAGTGTGGTCTCAGGTGTTCTAGCATATGTACATTAGAAGTTACTACTGAATTCCAGGTGGTGAAGCAAGCTGGTCCTTTATCTGTATGTGTGTCTATATGTATATGTGTGGGTATGTGTGTGTAGAGCTACATCCATATACATGGTACTACCAGAGTAACACTCACCAAGCCATCCCCAAGAGCAGGGTTAATCAGTGTAGCAAGCATTTCACACCAGAGATAATCCCATTAAGGAGTCTGGAGTGTGCAGAGCAACCCATGTAAGGCCCCTCTGTGTCCAGATCTGCAGAGGGGCCTTCTTCTATCTCCTATGAAGAAAGGTTGAGGGAGTTGGGCTTGTTTAGCCTAGAGAAGAGAAGGCTCGGGGGAGATTTCACAGCAGCCTTCAGTACTGAAGGGAGCTTACAAGCAGGAGGGGGACTGACTTTTTATACAGTCTGACTGTGATAGAACAAGGGAGAATGGCTTTAAACTAAAAGAGGGGAGATTTAGGTGAGATGTTAGGAAGACATTTTTTGCTCAGAGAGTGGCAAGAGTTGGCAAAGACTGCCCATAGAGTCTGTGGATGCCCTATCTCTGGAGACATCCAAGGATAGGTTGGATGGAGCCCTGGGCAGCCTGAGCTGGTGGTTAGCAACAAACCCATGGCAGAGGTGATCTTTAAGCTTCCCTCCCACCTAAGCCATTCTTTGATTCTGTGATTTTGTACAAGGGTTTGTTTTTGGCTGAAAGTGAGTTGCTGTTCAGACCTTTCTGAGATTTAGGACATCAATTACTGGCTTTGTCCTTCAGCATGCTTTCTTGCTTCTGCCATGAGATACCTTATCAGAGACATCTCAGGCTCCCATGGAGTCCTCCAGACTCATCCAGAACACCCTGGAGACCATCAGCTAAGGAGATACCCATTTCTGTCAATAAATTTACTGGATTGTCTTTTTGGCTATTCACTCCAAACTCACTCATCCAGGGATCGCAGTTTCTCCTCTGCAGAGCAGCACCCAAAATGCAGTTCATAGGGCCCTTAATATCAGCCAAAACATCTACGCCGCTACTGAGAGATGCTCTAGAGTGGGTGCTGCAAACAGAAGTCTTAAATACCTTTACTCTTTTTGTCTTTACTCAGTAGCACAGCAAATTCAGTACTGCCTTGCAGCCAAATAGATATTTCTAGTTATAAGCTATGTATTTTTTTCATCTTTTCTTTGCCATATGCACAAAAACTGCAGATAGAACCTCTTTAAATAAAATGTTTTGCAGGTGAATTGCCATGGCTGGAGGGTTGAGTTAAGAACTAGAGGTCTTTATAGGTAAACCAAATTGTCAGTCATTTAATCTGATTACAGGTGAAGCTATATTTCTTATGATGGGAAAGGTGAGCCTTCTGTTACTGACTATAATTACAAACATGAAGTGTATCTGCATCCCTTCTAGTAAAAACTATAATCAGTTACCACAATAGATCAGTGAGAATGCCTGTGTTTCATGTTGCCAAGAGCAGTGCTGCATCCCTCAGTGGTTTTTGTTGTCACAGTCATGAACTCTGCATGGGGAAGAGCTGATCAGTCTGCTCCAGTGGCATGGCTGAAGGTATGCATTATCCCCACTCAGACCTTCATATATGCAAACAAATCTCTCTACCCTTCACAACTTTGGTCACTCAGAGCACTTACATTTTCCCTCTCTTTCTCCCTCTCTCCCTAAACTTTCCTTTCTTGTCCCTTCACCTCCCAAGATGCTCCTGTTCATTCTTCCTTAAACAATTTGACTGCAATCAACAATATGGGTCAAACAGTTGCTCTTCAACTTGCTGGATCTCAGGAGATTCTCCTACAATGAATCAGACTACTAAGATCACTGGACGATTCTACTTTTATAGCATTTTTCCTAAGTTTTGACTACGGTTCCCTGTTAGATTCTGTGATAAAAACTTTGTCTCCATAAACTCAAAGTACATGTAGACAGTGGGGAGAAAACCCCATTTTTTCTCAAAGTAATAAGGCCATGTGACAGCTCAATCAGATAGCTTTTTGCTGCCTGTTTTCTTCATTGGTGTTGATCTGCTTCCCTGAAGCATATCTTCAAAAGCAATATGCATTAAGTATTTTCAAAACAGGAACCATCATCCTATTGCTTGCTAGTTTCCACTAATGTCACTGCTGTTGCTGTCAGAAGAACAGTTGTTTTCACTTGCTGCCTCTAATAACCCCTCTATATTTCACATGCCAATACATCATCTATAGACGTAGGTAGCATGCAAACCCTCCCCATCATAGTATTGCATTAATCACTAGCTTTCTTCTCCTGCAGTCACTCGGCGTACCCAGGCCTGGATGATTATGCAACATTCACCAGTATGTGACGTGAATTTCAGCCTGCATTCACCATAACCACCTTATTGTTAGTGATGGGGGGGATGAGGCAGAATACCAATGTCTGCACGCTGCTGGCTCTGTGTGGAACAGCTGACCTGCTTACAAGATGCAGGTCTTTATATCCTAACCTTGCCCTACAAAGCATCTTTTCCTCTTCTTTCATCCACCTTTAGTTCCCACAGGCCTTCATTATGAAGATTTCAATTGATTGCTGCTAACATACACTTGAGTCCAAATATCTGTGCTATTCATAGCGAAGCGCTCATTCAGCTAAATGCGTGGCTGAGTCAGTGCTCTTTTGATCAAACTGAATAAAAGACTTAACCAGGTGTTCCTCATAGCCCCAGGTCATCGGAAGGAATTCAACAGTGCAGGGATGACGTGCAGAAATAAAATCTCTCTGAAGTATGCAGTGCAGATGATGCCCAGGGTTCCAGCAAACAGGAGGAAAGATTTTGCCAAAGCAGGACTTTAACTGCCGTTAGAAGTCTTTTAGAGGTATCCTGCTAAGTGGAAGGCAGAGAGAGGTACTTACGTGTGCCTAACACTGTTCTTGTGCTGCAGGGAGCAAGGTGTGGGCTGCACACAAACACGTTACTTCGTGGTGGTATTTCTCTTGCTCTTATCTGCTGGGGCAGAGATTTTCCATCCCTTCAGACTTCTCACTATGCCTGAGTAATGCATTGACCTTACAGCCACGTTTTTGCTAGAGTAATAAGAGGTTTTGCTTATGGATGCACATGCCTCTTGGTTCTCATTGTGCTGTTCTAGTGCTTTGCCACACACCCTCCTGGCTTTGTCAGCCTCCCACTTACGTGCCATTTTTTCCACCTTTCATCGCGGTGAAGCCTCTCTGCAGTATATGACCAATTCCCTCGGAACTCTTACAAGTCTCACTGGAGCAACAGGGGGCACTCTCGCACCGCAGTCTCCGCACGGCAGCATTAGTTTCGCTAACGGTGCCTGGAGTCTATCAGCTCTGGCAAGCAATCATTTGTCACCGCGCGGTTAATTGACCAGTTTGCAACTTACTGCCAACGCTAAGAATACTCCTTGAAAACGGATAGCAAAGATGCGCTCCTCGGCTGTGTGAGCTTCCCTAAAGTTGCTTTATGCTGTCTCCTCATAGAACTCAAGAACAGATGAGCAATTCATTCCATTCAGGGGCTGAGACCCTTTCATCTCATCTCATCCTTCTCTGCTTCTCTTTCTGCTTCCTCCTGCACATCAGCACTAGTAACAGGAGGGCACGGCATAAAGAATTTCATCAGGGAATTTGAAAGTAACCTGTCCAAGCAGTTGCTTTAAGTCCATCTGAGTTCCTTCACCTGCAGCATTGCTTTGCCCCGCAATCCAAAGGTGCAAGCACATGGCAGCTGCAAAAGAGCTGCCAAATGTGACACATTGCACAGTGAAGCACTGCCTGCTCTGCTGCCTCAAGGTGCTCATTGTGGGCCAGCAAGGACAGAACCAGGCCAACCCTGCTGTGCTTCTTTCTTAGCGCAGCACGGGCTTCCCTGGAGAGCCCTGTGCCCATCCCATTGCCTGACAGCCCTGCCAGCCTTCTGCCCTTTGTACACCATTCCCTTGCTTCTCTTCTTGAATCTGCTTTGCAGACACAGGTTTGTTTTTGCTGCATACCTGCTGAGGAATGAAATAGTGTGTCACTTCAGTTGATTTCTGTAATATTTTTCAGTTGTGATTCCTGCTGATCATACCTTCTTTCCTGTGCCTGTCTTCTGCCTGATCATAGGCACTCATCAGAGGTTACATCTATGTGTCCTACATTGTCTTCAAGCTGTGGCAAATAAGGCTTGGGATCAGCACTCATACTAAGCCCAGATTTTCTCAGAGCCACTATCTGTAGCCATGCAGTTGTATTGCTGGGTTTGCCTTGCAACTAGCTCACTTGGTGAACAAGCTCTTGAGCTGCTCTCTCTGTCTGATATTCCCTGGACCAGAGAGAGAAGCCAAGCTCTTTGAGTGACTCCTACAATCATGATATCCTACAGGAAGGCCATGAACCTTGTAGAAGAGGCTCCCAACCCCTGCCTCTAGCACTGTATTTCACACAAACGTGAAATATGGGAACTGTTCTTGGAGCAGAGACAAAACAGTTCCCAGCTGAAGGGTCTTGTCTGCCCTTTCTGACTTTCTGCACAATGCCCTGCTTCAAAGGCAGTAAGTGAAAGGCCAGAATCATTCCTTATCCCTTCTCCTAGAAAGACATGGTGTGGCGATTTAAAATGTGCATACTTCCTACAGATTAAAAGAGAACTGGACAAGCTATCTTGCTTCTTGAACAAGTGCTTCAGTCACTGGACTAATGGAAACCCATCGGTGAATGCTGCTAGATGTTCAGAAACACACAAATTTGGCAGCATATATTACACCGAGAAAAACACCTGGACTGGGGCCTTCATGTGGCTCAGAAGAACATTTACTATCTTCACAATGACTGGACTGAAACTAGCTTTTCATAAACCACCCCCACCATTCTGAGCTGACCTAGAATAAGAACAGGACTTTATGGCATGTTCTTACTGCAAAATAAGCCAATGCCAGAGAACTAGCTTCACTTTGGGACCTGTCACTAACACTGCACAACTCTTGGACCATGATAAATAGCAATTTATAAGAGATCTGGCACACCACAGAGCTGGCAATGGACTGTATCAGAACTGGTTCCCCAAACTCTTTGCTGCCTTCTTCAGGTTTTATACTTCAAACTTACACTCTGATGCCACTCTGTGCAGCAGGCTGTGTATCCTCTCCACGGTTGTATTGTTTGCTCTGTCTCAGGCACTATGAACTGGAAAAGCATACATGCATAAAAACACCATGCATAAGGAGAGGGCTCTCATGCAGCCTAGCTGAAACCCAGAGTTAGAAGTCAGATAATAGGGCGATATCCAAACCTGAGTTTTCCTGCCAGTGAACCAAAAACCTGCAGTAGGAATTACTTACATCTATAAAAATAAGGATTAAAGTACTGTTGTATTTTAAGCCTTGAAGGAGAGATGTAGTTAAAGCCAGACTGAAATTTTACACCAAATCCTAACTGAGGAAAAAAAACCTCTCCCTAAAGATGCTGTACTTCCCTTGTGTGCTTCACAGGGAAAGCCCAGTATCTTGGAAACATCACTAGTCCAAAAATCCAAAGACTTCTATTTGCTGAAGAATTCTTATACATTCCTTCCTGGGGTAAAACAAACTGGTAATGCTCATCATTAGAGAAACAATTTATCAATACATAAACTGTTTATTTAAAAATAAAATAAGGACAAAGCTTAATTTAAATCTACTATCGCTAATGAAAGCCGTCAGTAGCCTGAGATTCAGCTTCTCATAACCCAGAAGAGCAGAGGCAACATTAGCATCGTCACACTTCTGCCCTTAGCCATGACCCCTTTGGCACAAGGCTGAAACGCAGAGGGAGGGCAGGCTGCACTGCAGCAATGCAGGGTACAGGCTGCTGGTGCAGATGCAGGACAACCACTGCACACCACCTCCTGTGTAAACCGCACTGCATTTTGTGTACAGAAAATCGTTGCTGTGGAAATGCATTCTTTGTTGTTGTCGTTGCTTTTCCCAGGCTGCAACAGCTGTTTTCCAGTACCTCTCTTCTTTTCTTTTGTTATTCAGTTCTGCTCTGGGTGAAGTTCTCCCCCTCTCTGTAAAATGTTAAGAGTCTGGTGGCTGGGAAGTATTGCACAGGTGTGGAGGAAGGGTAAAACGTGGTCATGCGTGGATGGAGTGGTTTCTTCCTGACAGTGTTAAGAAGCCAGTTGTTCTTGCAAGTGAAAGGCTCCGTCTTGTTGGCTATACATAAATAGGTCTCCATCTAGACTTTGCGTGACTGTGACGTACAGGATGAGACTCTGTGTTAGCAAAAGTAACCAAGCAATGAGGTCAGTACAGGACAATGGGAAAAACTGAACTCTGTTACGACCGACCGTCATGTTGATAACTGCAGCTTCATTGTTTTTTATAAACAAAATTAAACTTAATTTGCTTCACAGTGGCTAAGGTGCCGTTAATTCAAAACCCACCAAATTACTCACTGGACACAGTTAATAGTCAGCAGACCACATAGACCAGGCTTTGAAAGCATTTAATATTCACTGAAGTGCTGCTTGTATCCAATTATAACTCACTACTTGCCATCTTAATAATTTAAATCTGTCCACTCTTTAGAGAAGGGGGAAAAAAGCACTAATCAAAGACATGAATGCACCTTTTGCTTTTGACAGCATTAAATTAAAACTAAATGGTAGATCTTGAATGAGTTACTCTGCAAGAATAAAGGCATTAATGAGGTAATTTCATTATAGAGGCTCATCCAAGCCTATGTGAAAACAAGGGAAGTAAATGGAGAGGAAAGCCACCGAGGAAATTAGGGTTCCTTCCACACTAATTAATGTTTTGGGGCATTTAGTATAGGCACCAAATTAACTGCTCCAAAGAACTCCATTGAAGAAAAAAAATACATTGTTGCCCTGCCGTGTAATTAGAAGACAGTACAAGGAGAACACTTAATGAGTATAAAGCCAGCCTTTAACTTATTCTGCCCAGCTTCTGAAAACATGCCATTGTGGAGGCCTAAGTTTAAGGAAGCAACAGGCGTACAATATAGGATTGTTTAGGTCCTTCTGTTCGGTGAGCTGTAAACAGGTAGCCCTGAATGAGAGACTCTGGGACTCCTGGGAGGCCCGGCTTCCCAGCAAAAAAAGACTTAAATGCATCCAGAGGGAAGTAAAAAAGGTGAATAGGCCCAGCGCGGCTCGCCCAGTGAATGCTCACTGCTGTCTTAAAAGATTACATGATGTTGTGCCACCCCCTCTCATTGAGTTATCTTTACACTGCTTTTGTCTCCTCTAATTGGAGCTGATGAGGTGCTAATTGGTTGCTTTTTAAAAAAAGCACTGCTTAAGCGCTGGCAAGCAGAGTAAGACAGCGTGAGTGGAGTTAATGAGGGCTTAGCACCCCACAGACCTCAAGCAGCCCCACCGCCATGTATAGGCATGCCTTCCTGTCGGCATAAACGAGCACGTGAAGGGACAGCACTGAATTTAGGTAAATGTCAACGAGAGGGTTGTGAGAAAAGGGGGCAGTGCCAGGCACGGCAGAGCCCGGCTGCATGGCAGGCACCCGATGGACGCCTCTCTCCAAAAGACTCTTCATTTGTTTCGGGATGGCTGACAGGTTTATGCTAAGAAAGAATATGAAGAATCTGTCTGCCCTGTTGCTGACGTTGCCCAGCAGTAGCAAAAATAATCGTGCAGGCTTACTGAACGTGACGCTGCAAAAGTCCATGGTGAGCACAATCTTCTGCCGTGTCTGATTCTGCTTATATCTCGGCTACGTGGATGCGTGGCACAGAATGATCTTTCAGTATCCATGAGGCTGTGTTTTTTATGTACATGTGATGCCTTTGGGTTCCAGGAAGAAGCTGGCCCATCGCAGAACCACCTGGGTTGGTAAGGACCTTGACGCTCATCAAGTCCAACCATCAACCTGACATTAGATTGTGTCCCCTTATAGCCAGGCATCTCTTAGACCCCTCCCAAGGAAGGAGGACTTCCCTGGGCGGCTCTAAATATGTTATATCTTGAATAAAAATTCTGTCGAGTGTGTAAAGCACTTACTTAACTGAAGTTCAGCTGAGCTTCTGCACTTCTTGGTGCTCCCAACTTTTACCTGTCACAAAAATACATGAACCTAAATAAGGACTTTCATGCAGCGCTTTGAATTCTGTACTTGGTGACTGTAAGATTTTAAACACAAGCAGTTGTCATACAGTCACACAGCAAATATAACACAGTAAATACAACAGATTCATAGAATGGCTGGGCCCATCCATAAGGTCCCCTCCAAGGACCCTAAAGGTCATCCAATTCCAACTCCTGCCATGGGCTGATTGCCCCCACCAGGTCAGGGGCCCACTCAGCCTGGCCTTGAATATGACATTATAATTAAATATGATATCATAATTAGGCTGAATGTTAACTGATGTTTGCTATCCTATGTTAGGAAAAGACCTAAATACAGTTTGTTTAGACTTCACTGGAGTGGGAAGGAGGTCTTGTTTGGAAAAGAGAGTTATGATATGGCTATGGCTTTATTATATTAAAAAATTCATTTAGAAGGTAGATTTTGCATACCTCTGTGATCTGTGAATTGTTTTTTTTTTAGCCAGCACTTTCACTGCTGTGTGGTAAAACCCTACATCAATACATGAACTCCAGCAAAGGATGTGATACCGACATTGCCAACTCTTCTCCCTTCTTTCACAGTCTCTAAACCCTTCAAAATCCCTCTGGGAAAAAAAGAAAAAAAAAAAAAAAAGTGGTAGAAGCAATTAAAACTATAAAACATATGGTCAGTTCAGGAACATGATACATCCCTTATTAAGACAACTCAGATGGCCTATTTATGCTGAAGAGAAAATAACAGTCAAGGTCTCCCCTTTCATCTTTTTTTTTTTTTTTTGCCTACATAAGTAACCATAGTTAGAAAAACCAATTAGTTTGCAAACAGACAGTTACTTGGATGTGTGTTTATGCTGGGTAATTTGTACCCCTATTCACTTTCTAAATAGGATTCTGTTCACTCTTATGCATGGGCACTTGCTTTTCTTTCTGTTGTCATGAAAACCAGGGTTTTCTTAAAGGCTGGAAAGAAAGAAACTTCCTAGTGGATGAAGTTAGGATTAATTCCTCTCAACATTTGTTCCCAGAGCTATCCATCTATGGAAGCTCAGCAAAGCACAGCTCTTTGCTTTAGGAGGTCCCAAAAGATGCGGAGCTAAAAAAAATCTTTCAGTTCCCTTTACGTTTAATTAAAATACAAAAACAAATATCTTATCTTCCTCCTGCCCCCGATTTATGCACTGAAAAATCTTCATGTGTTTTCCATGGTAGGTATAATTGTGCCTGCAGAGATCTGCACTCTCATCACGGTTACCTGCTGAGTTCTCACAGAATCCTTGCAGGAGGTAGTACCTTGGGTTTCCTTTGTTTCCCATGGGATTAATAGCTGCTGATTTACCCCTAGCCAGTGTGACTTGGGTTGTAAAATCACATGCTGTGCGTGCCAAGATGTAATCCTTAAACATATTCTACCCTCTTTCCATTTCCTCCTCCAGTTCACTTTTTGCCTTACTGCTATTAGGCAAGGTGCTTCCCGGACCCCCTCCCTTCCTAATGAGCATGGCCACAAATCGGTGCACAGCGAGGCCAATTTAAATAGAAATTACCTTCATTTTCTGAAGGTGATCCTATTCTTAAGAAGCAAAGGCAAGCAAGCTGGAGTATTCCTCCAGCTCCTGGTGTTCCCAACCCTACAAGGAGATAACTTCGTTGCTCTGGATGCTGCTTCATCAGCCACAGCTTAGGGATACCTACAGCTGACAAACGCAGCCCTACTACACCAGAGGAGCAAGAAAAGTAGAAGCCACTTACCTCAGCCTACAGGATGGCATATCTCACCTTTTGATAATGAGGAGTCTAAAGTGCCTTGAACCACCCCCCCTTTCGGTGGGTTTGGGTCTGAAAGCCTTATCTTTTCCTCTGGAAGTGGTGAGCAGTTTAGTGGTTGCAAAGTGCAAGTAGCAGATGTCACGTGGTAAAAATCACATTTCTCATTAATGTTGCACCTGCGAATGCAGAAATATCTTTCTGTTTCTTCTGAAACTTGTTGCTTCGGGTACTTCCAGATCAGATCATGTGTGAGTCCAAACTAGTGGCTCCTGCCTCCAACTGATGATAAATCTCTCATCTCTGACCTCCAAGGGGATTTCCCAATACAGTGGAACAGCACCTGCTATAGAAAAAATAAAAAACACTTTCCCACAGCCACTGCCATCAGTAATGCCTGCAGGGAATGCAAGCAGCAGAGGAGAGCTGGGTGAGTGAAAGGAGAGCTGGATGTGCTCTGGAACCCTCCTGCAGTGACCCAGTGCTGTAACAGGGGGCTTGCTGCAGCTGGGAGCCCTGACACCCTCGGCCCTGGATCCCATCTGTCAGTCCAGTCCAGTGACCAGGATGCTGTCAGCATGTCTCAGGGTATGAGCATATGTTTTCCTCTGAGCTCTGAGTGTTGCTTCTGCTTCAGGCAGTAGTCTTAATGAAACTAAACTGAACAGAGCTGTTATCTGACTAGTTATCCCTTGGGGTACCAACATTGCTGAGAATTCATTCCTGCTCACATATAAGAGCAAAAGCGTGCAGTGCACATTCTTATGCTGAAAGTGATTTGGATGGTCCTCTATCCAACAAGTAATGCTTTAGGGACTGATCGTTCTTTAAATTATCTTATCCGTTACAGTTAACAGCTATATTGCTTTAAAGAAACAATAAAGTAACTAAAAACATGCCCAGCTGCTGAAGGAAGGTCAGTTGTCAGGAGGCAGATGAATACAATGGAGAAGGCAGAAAGGTTAAGTAACATAAATGAGATAACAGGAACGTAGCAGAGCTGAGATAAATAGCATGGGGCAGACACCTGACAGGTGAAAAGGGCTCACTAAGCAGAAGAGAAGCAGCAGTGTGTGATTCCTGAGAACAGTGGGTGGTTCCTGTTGTGCTGTGATGAGGATCAAAAGAGCTCCATTTGCCAGAAGTCCAAAGCTGGGGATGCCTCTGTGTTTTTCATGATTCACTTTCAGGTCATTTGCTTTTGAAGATTCTAAATTTGATGACTTCTAGTGCTCAAAGCAGTTCAGATGTTTCCAAATCAGTTCTGCTCAGTACTTAAAATGCTCAATGGAATGAAGGAAGAGCTGACTGAATGACGTTACTTTGCAATTCTAAAACTGAATAAAGCACGAAGGGAGGAGAGTATGACTAGTGTTGAACTGCTGTGCCACTCCACTTGCCTTTTGGTGACCAAAAAAGGATTCTTGTGTGGTAAGATGCACCCACCAGTTTCCAGCAGATGTTTATGAAAGCTAAAACTATAATTAATTACCACCATGGGGTTTCTGCAGCTTTAGGCCACACTTAGGTTAAGTCATTTGACTTTTGAAACATGTTAAGCCCTCGGCAGTTCATTAATTCTTGTGTCTGTGGACTTAGCCACCCAATTTATGCATCTTTTTGAAATCTAGCCTCTTCTACTAAGCAGGTTGTAGCTGATGACTAATCATTATTTCTAAGGTTTAGTTTTGCTCTGGGAATAGTAATTAGCAAATGATGTCTCCTCTTTTATTTATTTATTTTTTTCTAAATCTGAGATAGCATCCCTGAACTGGACTCTGAGAAAGATGTGCTTTGCCTTTATCTCATCTCTGTACCTTTGCTAACTAGCCTCCTGTTTACTGTGAGAATGTGAGTAAACAGGAACCTAAATGTTTCTGAACAGTGTAAAGTATTTGATTATTTTTCTTGGAATTTTTTTTTTTTCTGTGTCATTAACAGTAAGTATTTCCTCAGCAGAAGTGCTGAAAAATCCTGCAATCGTTTTGAAAGTCAAGGGCTTGCTGAAGAGTATCTGATACCCATTGTGGAAGCTACAAAGCCTCATCATAGCCTTATTTGCATGTTTCCCACCTCTTAATCTGAGAAATATCTAAATTAACCCCAGGCTTTGTTTGTTACCCTTGGTAAAGTTTTGGCTGGTACATCTGCTGGATCAGGTGCTGAACTGCAAATCAGGTTAGGCTAAATGCTTTCCTGAAGTCTCAGTGTTTCAATGGGGCTGGGATTCTCAGACTGCCTAAAACCACCAATATGAATAAGAAGATAATTACCAACATTACTTTGCAGCCTGAGCTGCGTTCAGTCAGGCGGGATATTTTTATTTGTTTCACACCAAGAAAAAATAACACCAGTGAACCTCCAAGTGGTTTTTGGCACATCTGAAAGCTTTCCGTGGGCTCACTCAGCAGTCACGTGTAATAGGGCAGTATGCACCACAGCACTGTGTGGGAGACATGCAGCTAAGAGCAACACCACAGGACCCTTTCTGGAACAAAATGGCCTCACCATAATGTTTGAACCAGGATATACAATTCCAGAGGCTCTGATGTTAGTCCAGGCCAGGGGAATCATAAACACAGTGTGAATGTTGGGTTTTCCAGATGAACTTCATTATAGTTCATTAAGTATTTTATAGTTACTTTTTATTCTTCACAATTAAAATAACCAGAGAAAGAACCTTCTTTGTTCTTCTTTGTCCCTAGCTCAGTCTGTAGGGCATTTTCACATGCAAACAAAGTATCACGACGCTGCTCAAGTCTTTAACCTTCATGAAAAATAAGTAAGACAGTATTGTGATTCTTTCAGTTGGAACTGTGAAATATGGAGAATAAAGCAAAGCAAGGCTTATCACAGAAAGCAGGCAGAAATGAAGGAATTCTGAGGGTGACCTGTCCTGCTCAGGGCTCCCAAAATTGCTTGTGCAGGTCAACATTCTCTTTATGTGCTCAGCAGTTGCAACAAATACAACATTCCCTGTAATGTTTTGCATGAATTCTATCTGCAATTGTTTAAACCCAGTGCTTTTTTGAAGACTATTACCCTTTTTAATACTTACCTCCAGCACAACTTGCTTTTTATGGCAGGTGAGAGAGTGGAGTGTGCAAATTCCCCCTGTGCCTGTAGTGCTGGTCTGATGCAGAACAGCCTACCTCTGTGCAAAAGCTACGCATGAAAATAGCAGAGGAAAGGTGAAATCAAACATCATTTACACATCCACAGTGAATGAGCATTTCCAAAATGCATGGTATAAGGTTAGGTGTACCTGCATTCAAGATGCAAGGGATGGGCCTGACTGTTAAAATACATCGTATGACAATGACACCTGATGGTAGCAAACAGTAGAGGGCACTTGTTTGTTCCAAAGAAAACTTTGGAAAACACCCATGGTTATTTCTCTTAGAGATCATAAGAAATCGATAGGGTACAACTGAACTGAGAAAGCATTTCATGTCTCATAGGCCACTCCTATTCAGGTTGGATATTAGGAAAACGTTCCTCTCAGAAAGAGTGGTGAGGTTGGAGCAGGCTGTCCGGGGAAGCGGTGGAATCAGCATCCCTGAAGCGTCCAAGAAGGGGGTTGTGTGGCTGTAAGGACGTGGTACGCAGTGATCACAGGCACGGGCCTCCTATTCTTATAGAAATAAAAGAGGGTGAGACGAAGGAATTTCTGAAATTAGAGGGCTTAGTTTTAAACCAGAAACCCGATAATTTCCCAGAGGGAAAAGAAAAGCACTGCTTTCCCTTCATAGCTCCCAAGCATCCAGCCAAGCAGCTGGGATCTCCTGGCCGTGCCGGTGACGTTAACTCTCCATGCTTGCTGTGTGAGGAGAGCTCCCTGAGCACAGAGTTACACCTGAGGACGGTGTGCAGCCCGGGCTGCCTGGCTGGCATCGCTCCGACCCAGCGGGGCCCACGGATGCGTGCGTTAGCAGCCACAGTTACACGGACGCCGGCAGCCTCACAGTGAGAGCGCAGCAAAATCCCTCGATGACGATTGAAGCAGTTTCGGCTTTAAAAAAACACAGGCTTTGCCAAGCGTCATTGTTTTGGACTTCTCTTGACCTCGCTCGGCAGAAGGCTCCCGCTGGCCGCAGCTTTCTGCCCAGCATCCCGGTGATGACCAGTTCTGCGGGCGTTTGCTTCTCGCACCGATTCACGGGGTGGAAGCTCTGCCTGCCCTCCCACCCCAGCTCCAGCAGCCCTCTGCTCGGGTTGCCCTGGAGACAAAGCTTCCTGTGCGTAATCCAAGCTTATCCAGCTCCTTATCCTACATGTGACCCTTAATTACTTGCTAAATTAGAATGGTTTTCTGAAAATCACAAGGGGAGGTTAATATGTTCTTCCAGAGCTGGTCAAGCTAAGATGACACTAAATTCACAGGGAATTCAAATTACATGATCCCTGAAGGCGTCTCTTTCAGAAGGAAGATGAACTTTCCCAATAGGAGGCAGTGTGCCATGATAATGCTTCTGTCACTCACTTTCCTTGTCCTGCTTGTCTAACTACAGCTTAATCTGGTATGAACAATGTAGTAAGTAAATATCAGGTTGATTAATTATGGTGCAAGATTCAGTAACTGCTTGTCTTCTATAATTAACACGGTCATTGAAATTAAGTAACACGCTTCATACATGGATTCCTGGACTAAAAGAAGTAACACAGGAGAATCCTCAAGGCTGTCACAGGGAAAGTGAGGAAATAACAAAAGAGGGTCAAAATATTAATTATCTCTTTAAGATAACTATACATTTTAAGATATTCTTCATACAAGAAGTGACTTTACTACTTCTGCACGTCCTCACAGAGACAAAACAAAGTTGGTCTCTAAAAATACTGCTTCTATTTTCTGACAGCACACTTTTCTTTCACCAGTGTGATAAATGGAAGTTGCAAGAAAAGGCACACAACATACAGATAAGCTCACCTACCTTCCTGCTCAGAATTTCTCAGTACAAGACATCATATTTCAGAATTCTGCTACTAGCATGGTAAGCAATGGTTTCCTCAGCACTTTTTAGAAAGGCGACACCATGACCTCTTTTTTTTTTTTTTTTTCTTTCTTTTCTCTGTTTCAATTCACGCGTTATTTGCAGGATAGTATTGAAGGAAGTTCTAACAATTTGGAAATGATTTTTGTTTCCTTAGCAGGAAGGAACGCTGTGAGCTCGGCACTGAGCTCCTGTAGTCAGAACAGCTTGAAGGCATAGCTTGCTTTCCCAGCATTTTGAGCACTTCTCCCAAAAGTTCTGGTTTTCACAGAAGCACAGAATTTTGAGATGCTTTCTAAAATATAGATAAATAAGAGATATATAAATATGTACTTTACACATACACTGTAAAAAATAAAGCATTTTCTTAAGAAAACCATGCTTCCCTTTTTTTAGTTTTTTTGCATTCAAACTGTGAGGATGGAAAACAAGGTCGCTGACATTCAGTGATTTCCCTCTGCCTTCAAGTTCCCCATACAACGTTAGAAAAAAGCCAGGGACCATTCTGGTACCATTGCCTTCTTTGGGGAAGGGTTCAGAAGTGTGGGCCAGATTTTCACACTGATTACAGGAACTTCATGGCTACCATAGGAGAAGAGACTAAATCCATAAATAAGTGAATGGAGAGCACAGGGTCTGGTGACACAGATTCCCCTGGGGACAAAGGAAAGATAATTACCGTTCTCTCCCAGTCCAGTGAGAACATGTAAAAGAACCAGCAAAGTGTCACGTCCTCTGCTATCCCCATGTGTAGACCGGACCAGAGAAGTGTAGAAAGGAAGAATATGCTACATACAAATAATCTTTTTAAGTGCTAGGCTACAGTGCTGCAGCAAGCTGTGACTGGTTTCTCTCACAGCAAAACCAACAGGGGAATGAAAGTATCTGAATAAGAGATCCCTTCTAAAAACACAGTTTCTCTTGTACCGTTGGATTGACATCACTACCAGGAATTAAAATAATCAATTGGGGGGGGAAAAGGGGGAGGGAAACACTTGAAATTGTGTCCAGCTGCTCTTAAGATATCTGCATTCCTTGTTTATTTCTTTGTTTTATATCCTTTAGATCTCTAGCTTAGAAAAACAACAGAAAGTAGTCGTACAATAATGCCTTGTAGCCTATGGCATATTCCATTTCAGGATCCTAACAAAAGGTCGGTAAGCATAGAAGAATAGTTTCAGTCTAAGTTTAGTTCAGTCTGGAAGAGCTTTTCAGTTCCCTATGGCAAAATGGAGCAAATTAATTTGAAAAAGAAAGAGTAACAAAACAAAGAGTGCTTGAGGGACCTAGAAAGGCAGGCAGCAAGATCCTTCAGTCAGCCAGTCTGGCAATTAACTCATCTACAAAAAAAAGACTTCTGCGGGTTTCCTAGTAACTAACAGACCCTGCAGTGAGGTCTCCAAGTCTGCAGGGTATGGCAGGTAAGCTCCAGGCATTTCATGGGGCATTTCAACCCACAGTCATCACAGGCTTTCTCTGGGCCTTCTGTGATCACTACTGCCTTAGCAGGGAGCAGCAAGGGCTGTGTGCTGGTACATCAGCTGCTCCAGTTTGTAGCCCAGCATATAATTCCAAATGTAGCTTTGTCAGCAGTTTGCACTAAGAAACTTCTCTGAGACTGGAGTACATATTCCTTCTGGTCGGCTCCTCTAGTACCATTATAACCTTTCCAAGTACCAGAACAGTCTTGCCCAGAGGGCTGGAACTTTTGCTTTGTTTCAAGGCTGAAACAGACCACAGACAATGGAATATTTCTTTTTTTCTAAAACATGCAACTAAAGTTCACTGCTTTCTTTTACTGCTTTCTTCGAGTCAACAGCAACAACAACAAAAAATAATAATAGAAAAAAAATCAACAGATCTTACTGGAAGCACGTCCACAGGTTTTGTTTGTTTGTTTGTTTGTTTGTTTTCGTGGCTACTAAGCATTGATGCCAGAAAGTTGCTGGAAATTAAATGTGTTAATGTCATAATTAATGCTAAGAACTGCATTTTGACAGTTTTTAGTCTGAAGAACTCTTTTTCTCTGGTGTTTAAGGAGTCTGCTAATGATCTAACTTATGCTTTAGGAAGGATGTGCAAGCCACAGATTGCAAGAGCACTACCCTGCTTAGTCTAGGGTGAGAATACAGATTATTATTTAGATGGTAGAGAGGAAGGATCATCTCCCCTGACGTGCTAGTGATGCTCTTCTGTTAGGGTGCTGTTGGACACCTTAGCTTCAAGGGAGCTGTTGCTGTTCTATGACTAATTTGTTGTCCACCAGGACCTGAAGTCATTCTCAGCAGGGCTACCTTCCATCTGGTTGCTCCCCAGCTTCTCCTGGTGCATGTGTTCCACCCCAGATGAAGGACTTTGCATTTCCCTTTGTTGAACTTTAGGAGATTCTGATGGCCCATTCACACAGCCTGCCCAAGTCTCTCTAGAAACAGACCTACAGTTACAAGCCAGGCCTAAGAAACTGACAGACTTTCTTCTTCTAGATAGAATAGGGTTAAGAAAGTTGATGGAAGTGTGTATGGGGTAAGTAGAGAAAAACTGGTTGTTCATGTTCATGACACTCCTTATTCTGAACATTTAAAGCCTTAGTTGTGCTGTTCTAAGCATTGCTTTTTGATTATGTAATGCTTAGGGGGTTGTTTCTGTTTTTGGACTGAGTAGACAAAAACTTTACACTGTTTGAAAAGCCAGAAAGGGCCATAAGAGCAATGCTCATATAAAAATGCAGTCTGTGATTTTTTTTTTCCTAGAAAATTGTAAATAACTGTAGCAGTATCTGTTCTGCCTTTGCACAGCTATGCATAAAAAGCTCACTGGGACCACTCACATCATTTTCAGTCATTACCATGCCCAGTGGCAGAGAGTAACTGAAACGTGCATGCTTTGTAACATCTTCAAACTTAGGCATCTGTAAACTGAAATTCCCTTTCAGAAAGCTGGTACATGATGAAAACGTGGTTGTTGGAATGTCTCTGACAGCTTTAAAGTAATCTAAAGGCTCATATAACAGATTAAAAAGATTCCTTTTGTGTTTGAACAAATACAGATAATGTTGAGAAGCATTTTCCTGACTGCTCTAGAATGCAATAAGCAAGAGAGCAACAGGTAATAGTGCTGAAGGACAGTGAAGAGAGGAAGATCAGCTACCAAGCAAGCCATAAGATGTGAGTGTCAGATTACAGAATCACAGAATGGCCTGTGTTGGAAGGGACCTCAAGGATCATGAATCTCCAACCCCCTGCCACATGCAAGGACACCAACCTTCCCACCTAATGCTAGACCAGGCTGCTCAGGACCCCATCTGATCTGGCCTTGAACACCTCCAGGGACGGGGCATCCACAGCTTCTCCGGGCAGCTGTTCCAGTACCTCACCACTCTCTCTGTAAAGAATTTCCCCCTGACGTCCAACCTAAATCTCCCCTCCCTTAACTTCAAACCATTTCCCCTTGTCCTGCTGTTATCCACCCTTTCAAAGAGTTGATTCCCCTCCTGTCTGTAGGCTCCCTTTAGGTACTGAAAGGCTGCAATGAGCTCACGCCGCAGCCTTCTTTTTTCCAGGCTGAACAAGCCCAGCTCCCTCAGCCTGTCTTTGTAGGGGAAGTGCTGCAGCCCCCTGATCATCTTTGTGGCTCTCCTCTGGACCCTCTCCAACAGCTCCCTGTCTTTTTTGTACTGGGGCTCCACATTTGGACACAGTACTCTAGATGGGGCCTCACAAGAGCAGAGTAGAGGGGAACAATCACCTCCCTGTCCCTGCTGGCCACCCCTCTTTTGATGGAGCCCAGAATACCATTTGTCTTCCAAGTTGCAAGGGTACACTGCTGGCTCATATTAAGTTTTTCATCTATCAAGACCCCCAGGTCCTCCTCCACAGGGCTGCTCTCAAGGACCGCTCCTTCCAGTCTGTATGGATGCCTGGGATTCCTCCAGCCCAAGTGCAAAACTCTGCACTTTGCTGTATTGAACCTCATCCGGTTCACCCGGGCACGTGATAGAGATGTCTACCACAGACTTTTCTTTCTCTATCATTTATATGAGGAAAATGGTACTTCTAAGGTACACTTTGATGTCTTTTAGGTATCCATTTAAGAAAAACCTGGGGTCTGAGAAGAACTTAGTGGTCCTGGTAGACGAGAAGATGGACATGAGCCAGCAGTGTGCACTTGCAGCTCGGAAGGCCAACTATGTTCTAGGCTGCATTAAAAAAAAACTTCACTTCTTGCATATCTACATCTATAGGATAGGCATTTACCTCTGCTGTTACCATTTTGGACTCCCTGTATAAATAATTTTTGAATAAAATGTCCCTGAATTTTATGCCACTTGGGCAATGTATATGTAAAGTATACATTTATGTATATGTATCTGCAAGCTTGTGTGCCTACACATGTATGTACATAGTTTGTTTACTTCATTTTCTTCAACCAAGGGAAAGGAGAAGCTGAACTGTGACAGTTATTGCAGTGCAGAGGAACTTTCAGAACAGCATGATTATACACATGAAGTGGAGTTCTCCTTTTTGACAGTGTGGTAATTAAGAAATACCCATATGGTAATCTGGGAAATCCTAGTCCCTGACTACAGACTGCTGTGAAGCTGTCTCGAGTTTCACACGTTCTTCAACAGTTATGAAATAACTATGAATTACTATATAAAACAAAGGGGCGTAATCAGTCAAACAGATGAGTTGACTGCAGTGATGATATATGCAAAAGCAGCTACATAATGTTCTCTTTTACTCACCAGCGCTTAAGCACAGGTCTTATGAGGAGCAGCTGAGGGAGCTTGGATTGTTCAGTCTGGAGAAGAGGAGGCTCAGGTGAGACCTTATTGCACTCTACAAATTCCTGAACGGAGGTTGTGATGAGGAGGGGTTTGGCCTCTTCTCCCAAGCAACAAACAGGACCTGAGAAAATGGCCACAAGTTGTACCAGAGGAGGTTTAGGTTGGACATAAGGAAGAACTTTTTCTCCCAGAGAGTGGTCAGGCACTGCAATGGCTGCCCAGGGAGGTGGTGGAGTTGCCATCCCTGGCAGCGTTCAAGAGGAGCCTGGATGAGGAGCTGCGAGATCTGGTTTAGTGCTTGTGGTAGCAGTGGTGATGGGAGGGCGGTTGGACTCGATGACCTCACAGGTCATTTCCAACAACCTTGTGATTCTATGAAAAAACGTAATGTCTTGAAGTTCTGCAGTCTTGTGTTCTCTTGAATTATGAATTGTTCCACGCTTGTGTCTTTAAGTTGTAGAATTTCAGACATGCTTATGGGTGGGGGTAATAAAAGAGATTCATTTCAAGGCTGGTGCTTTTGGCTTTTTTGTCCTTTCAGTAGGGCATGGTTATTTTACTGGCATTGTAAGCTCCAAGCCTACTGCCAGACGCATGGTATATACAGGGCAGGGCTTCATGCTGCTCTATTCACATCTCTGACGCTTATGACGTTTTACTCCCCTGAAGTAATTGCTGTGCATTCTATTGCCAGAACATTTAGATTCTATCAGCAGGATCCCCCTCCCTAGAGACCTTCAAGGCCAGGCTGGATCAGGCCCTTGGGCAACCTGATGGAGCTGTGGTGTCCCTGTGCATTGCAGGGGAGATGGACTAGATGGCCCCCAGAGGCCCCTTCCAACTCAACGATTCTATGATTCTATGAATCCCCTTCTAGATCTTTATGCAGCTGAGTTTCGTCAAGGAAGAAAGACCCAATTCCCTTCATATCCCCTATTCCCATAATATTTCCCTTAGTTCCCCAATTCCCTTAAAACACCAGTACCCAAGACACAGCCTGAAGTCTCTGAGGGATATTATATAACCACTGTTATTACTATTATAGCATTTCCTTCTCAGCCAACACTTATACAGAACACAAAAGATATTTAAGTTCCTCCAACATTCATCTCAGAAACACTCCTCTACCATACATCATCTGAGCAGCATCTATGCCTCGCCTAATTGAGAATCACAGAAGCACAGAATGGCCAGGATTGGAAGGGACCTCAAGGATCATGAATCTCCCCTGCCACATGCAGGGCCACCAACCTCTACATTTCACAGCTACCCAGGGCCCCATCCAACCTGGCCTTGAGCACCTCCAGGGATGGACGGGGCATCCACAGCCTCTCTGGGCAGCTGTTCCAGCCCCTCACCACTCTCTCTGTAAAGAACTTCCCCCTGACATCCAACCTCAGTCTCCCTTCCCTCAACTTAAAACCATTTCCCAGCTAACACGAACAGCTCTAACTCCACCCATCCCCAAACAACTGCAGAAGGACCATCCCACGCCTCGTCAGGCGGAGGCGAAGGCGGAAGCGGAGGGCCGGCCACCCGGAAGCTCCGCCCACCCAGCCCGGAAGCTCCGCTCTCCCCGCCTGCAGGCCCACCTGCCGTGCCCTTGGCCCCGCCCTCTCTCCCGGCCAATCGCGTGGCGCCCTGTTGGCGGCGCGCGCCGTCCCGCAGCACGGTGCAAGATGGCGGCGCGCGCGCAGCGGGGCGGGCTGGCGGCAGCTGTGGTGGCCGGGGTGCTGCTGGCCCTCGGGCGGTCGGCGGCGGCGGAAGGCTCGGCGGGGCCGCACCGCCGCTTCGAGTACAAGTACAGCTTCAAAGGGCCGCACCTGGTGCAGGCGGACGGCACGGTGCCGTTCTGGGCGCACACGGGCAGTAAGTGGCGGGGGAGCGGGCTGCGGGCGGAGCGGGGCGGCGGTGCGGGGCCGTGCGGCGCCGTGTGGCGGCGGTCCCCCCTCCCGGCCGCGGTGCGGAGCCCCGGTCCGTCGCCGTGCGTGGTGCTGATGTGTCATTGCGGGCGACGGGGCTGCCCTCGCTGGGCGCGCAGCTCGGCCCTGTTTTGCTGTCGCTGAATTCGTTTATTCTGCCTTTCCCCCCCTCCCTCTCCCCCCTTTATTTCTGTTTGATCCGGGCCCGCTCTCTGGGTGCTGGGTGGTGACTCACAGTTATGTGGCGTTGTGCTACACGTGTCAAAAGGGCAGCGCGCTGGGGATGAGCAGAGGGTAAGGCCGTCTGTTTGCGTCGAGAAATGTTGTGGTTTGTGTTAAAGCCAGCAAAAAACGCAGCAGAAAACTTTTTAAAAAAGATTTACAATCATATTTTAGCCATCGGATCAACCTTCTGTTTCAGGTGCGTGTTGTTGTACCAAACAGAAGGTGAAAAAACGCTTTGAAATGCAGTAGTAATTACCTACTAAAAGTAATGATCCTTTCTGTTCTCGTGTTTTGTTGCTTCTAGGTTCTTTTCATTTTTCTTTTCCTCCCTAATGGAGTGTTTACCTAAAATGTTCCTTTCCCTTCCAGATGCCATACCGAGCGCGGATCAGATTCGTATAACAACGTCTTTGAAGAGCCAGAAGGGATCGGTGTGGACCAAAAACAAGTCAATATTTGAATATTGGGAAGTCGAAGTGACCTTTCGAGTTACAGGCAGAGGCCGCATTGGAGCGGATGGGCTGGTATTGAGTTTGATCTGATGTAAGAGACATACTCAGAAAAGTGGCTCTTGGCTTACAGTTCTTCCTTCCTTTCTAACAGGCAATCTGGTTTACAGAGGAGCAAGGCATGGAAGGTCCCGTGTTTGGGGCGGCTGACAAGTGGAATGGTGTTGGAATTTTCTTTGATTCCTTTGACAATGATGGAAAGGTTGGTTGGAAGCAAACTCTTCTAGTAAAGATAAATTTAATTTCCTGCTTGTTTGGCACTCACAGCTTTGTGGGAAAAAAAGCACGTCACTTTCCTATTTCCCCCCACCTCTTACTTAAAGGGCTGCATTAAAACAATCATATTTCTCTAATACAGTTTAATCTGGACCTTTTCTATATGCTCTTTTGGGATGTGTTGAGGAGTGGGGAAGGGGTTCAAGCTAGAAAGCAGGAACATAACTCATAAGTAGACTACCAAGTTCTTGTTCATCTGTTAGCTTTGGAGGGGAAATGATTTGAACACACATAGAAGCTGAAGTTGGGGATTTCCATATGCAGTTCAAAATACTGATAAATCTGAAGATTTATGCTTTGGAAGCAGCATAATGTACAAAATATGCCACAGAGAAACACATTTCCATGTCTTTCCTTGGAAATGCTCTTTCTCTTGGAACAAATCTGACTTGAGTAGTTAACAGCAAAAAGTCAGTGGCAGTGAGGATGGCAGTGCTTTGCTTTTTTCCTACCCAAAATACAGCTTTGCTGTACCTATCTGTTTTTCCTGTTCCAGAATGATTTGAAGATCCTCAGAAACTGTAATGAAACAGTTTGTCTGCTTTGCTTTTTTCCATTACTACATTGTCTTTTTTCTTTTTTCCCAGTGTTCTAGCTCTGTTTTTGTAGGTATAACAATTTAGGGTGTTCTGTTTGTTGTTTCCCTACAGATGTGTTTTAAAGTACAGTCAACATATATAGAAGTTGACAGGCTGAGGGTGGCATTCATATTTCCCATCTTAAAAAGGCTAGAAATGGAATATTGTTCAGCCTGCTAAGAATTTTGAAATCCTTTCTTCTTTCCCCCCTCTTCCAACTGCTGTCAGGGACATGGACCCCAGCATAGCTTGGCTGGGTAAAGTTGCCATCTGTCCAAAGCTGCACGTAAACAGTGCTGTTTGCCAAGACTTCAGAACTGCGTCTCCAGTCATGAGTTTAGTCTGTGTGATACGAATTTATCTGTTTTTAAGGAGATGATGACATCCAATTGAAACAAAAGCCTTTGCCATGCCCGTGTTGGTCTGACACATCTTAAATCCTGGAGTTGTGAGAGTTGGTTGTTTTTTTGTTTGTTTGTTTTTTGGTGTTTTTTTTTTTTTTTAGATGATAGCCTACTGCTTTCTTCCAGCTCTGTGGAGAAATTAATTCTTCGTGGTACTGTTCTGAATTGATATAGAACGACCATTGTTACACTGAAGCTAAATGTAAGAAGATGACATTGAAGTATTTGGATTGTACAGAGCGTATACAAAGTAATACTGATTTGAAGCAATGTGTCTAACCAGATGCAATGGCTGAGGAGTAAAAAATGTATTCCTTGGTGTTGGTTGCAGTTCTGTTGTTGCCACAATATACATGATGATACATGATGAAGTAAAGCAATCACTTACTTTAGCTGTGCTGATTTCTTATGGTATTAAAGGACCACCCTCCCCCACACTGTGAATTGAGCATTGTTTTTTTCTTGAACTCCAGGCAAGGCCTGTCATGTTTTCTATAGAACTATGAGTCTGTCCAGTTGGACAGTATATTCATTCTGGAGATAGTGAATGGAAATGCTGAAGAGGAGATTATCTCTGTAATCTTGTGTTCCTATAAAAAGAAGAGTTAACTTTCTAAACTCAACTGGCAGAACACTAGATCTGTTTTGCTCTTACTTCGGCTTGTTCTCATTTTTCTGTTGGTCTGAATAACCAGGGATGTGTTTGGCAGATGGTTTAGTCTCTGACGGATAGCTGCTGCTGTGGTCTTTTTAATGACTGGTGAGGTCAGTGGGATGCCAGCATGCTGTCTGTTGGGATGTTTTTCCAAGTTACATAGCTGGAGTCAGATGTACATATCATCTGTGCTTTTTAAAATCAGTGTATTTGCTACATATACATTTCTTCTATCTGCAGATTTTACATTTATGTTTGTGAAATGATGCTGATTGGTAGGATAGCCAAAAACCTTTTTTTCCCACTCCCAGCAGCACAAAGAATGTAGTAGTCTCTTGTAACGCATGCAGTGTGACATACTACCTCAGACATCTTGCTTTCTATACATCAAGATGAAATCAGAATAAAACGAGCTGTAGTGTTTTTGTAGCCTGTGTGTTTGATCACTGAAAGCCTGTCAGTGAGGTTGCATATATTTCTCTTTGAATTAACCTGTTTCATTTGTTTGATAGTTGTTGGGTTTTTTTGTTTATTTTTTAGAAAAACAATCCTGGCGTGGTTGTTGTGGGCAATGATGGAAAGCTTCTGTATGACCATCAGAAGTAAGTTTATTTTCAGCCTTGGCTTTGTCATGAATCTTTTCTTTTGAATGATGAGATGTTGCATGGAAGTCTTCGAGAAAGGTTTCTTTTATTATGAAACTTCTTTTTCCATCTCTTATCCTGTGTTTGGGCTTTTCTGTTTGTTAAAATACTGTTTTGGCAGTTAGAGCAAAGGAACAGGCAATGGATATTGAAGTGGTATGTAGGTTTGGGGATGGATGAGCTCAAATGAACAGATGTGCAGACTTTTTACCTCTTTATTGCTTATAGATGTGTTGCACACAGCTAATAACTGAAAGGAGTGAGTGGCTGAGAACTAACTGCTCACAAATTGATACGTTTGGTTTTGATTTCTGATGGTTTATTGTCAACAGTAAAATTAACATATTTTTGGGTTTTCTGAGAAGAGAGTTATTTAGCTTTACTGGGGTTGGTCCAGACTATAATTAATTGATGAGTGTGGGAATGACTTAAAGCAAACAGACTTCCCCATTACTGTTTTCCATCTCTACTATTCTGTGTAAAATATCTAGCACCATTGAGCCCAGAGTTGAGTCAATACAATGGAAACACATTTTGCTATGGCTTTTATGTTTTGAAAAAATAGTGTGATGTTTCTTAGTGATACATTGGTGCTTTTTTTGCATTAGTTGATAAATCACAAGATACAGTCTTATGCAAGTTGTCTTCTTGTGTAGTGATGGTTCCACACAAGCATTGGCCTCCTGTCAGAGGGACTTTCGTAATAAGCCCTATCCTGTTCGAGCAAAAATCACATACTACCAAAAAACACTGACTGTAAGTACTCTGAAATAACATAATTACTTGTGTTTCTCAGCTTTTTAAGTGTGAGATGATTGTTGTTTTTTCAACACCTCCCCACCTCCTGTGTTAAATTTTGAGCTTAGTAACTCAGGAGCTGGAATGAGGTGCCCTACGTTCAAATGCTACGTAAGTTCTTACGGTGCATCCTGAGCTGACTCAGCAACCATTGCTGATTTTTCTGGTGTTTCTTAGAGGTCAGTCACACTAATGTCCTCCTACCTGCCCCGTATCCCAAAGCCAGCATATGTGCCTCATCCTCTTCCAAGTGGTTGAGCAGCCATTGAACTTGGACAGCATTGCTCAAGCTGATTGTTGAGCTGTGGAGAGTTTTCCAGCTGATTGTTGAAATGTGATTAATTTAAAAAAGCACTTTGACAGCACACTTAAATTTGCTGCTTAAGGCTTCCTATCTCCAAGAAGTAGTATACATCTTAGAATGTTGAAGAAGACAGTGGTGTAAGGAAAGGAAGTGCTCAAAACTTCTTAAGAACTTGATGGTTATGAGCACCTCCTGAGTAAGGAGTGCTGGTTTGAGACAGCCATTAAGTTGTTCTGTTTTTTTCTTTCTTCTGGTTTCTATGAAGAAGTTACTATTGTAGTTCAGACACTATTTGTACTATTAGCCAGTTAAAGCACGCATCTGTCATTTAGTAAAAGTTTCTCCACAAAATAAACATGAGGGCTCCCAGAGGAAAGTGGACCTTGTACTGTGTGGTAATGGTAAAGGCTGTGCATTTGTCTTGAGTGAAAATTAAATTTTGGACTCTGACGCAGCTCTTTTCTTTAATGTACCTGATTCCTAATGCTTTATCTCGGAACTCATGACCCATGTGGTGCTGCTAACCTTAACAGTTCTGCAAATGCATCTGTGGAGAAAAAGAGAATCTCTCTAAGCTTAAATTAATAAGGGCGACTGTACTAGACTGCACCAAATATGTGTTGCCCAGATGCATACTGGGATTTGTACTTGAGGGTCTAACCTTTATTGATCTCTAAGTCAGGAATTTCAGGAACTAGAGTTAATATTTTTAGATCTGGATGAATATTTCCATATATTAATTTGTTCTGCTTCTTCTAATTGAGATGAATATATTTTAATATAAAAATGATTTCTGTATAGTATGTCCTCGAGTGATGAATAGAAAATGTGGAATTTTGTTCACGTTGAACTTTGAATCAGCTTATACATTTCCCTAGTGGAAACTTCAGAGATTAAATAGTCTTTGGATTCTGATATCAGCTATAGGTTTATCTGATGAGTTGCGCTGTGACCATTACTGTAAACTAACAACCAGATGCAGAAATTCCTCAAGCAAAGCTGCTGGCACAAGTAGATTTTTGTGGTTAATAACTATAGGTGTGTTTCTTTATAGGTATTAATTAACAATGGATTTACTCCTGATAAGGAAGATTATGAATTTTGTGCTAAAGTGGAAGACATGGTGTTGCCATCACAAGGATATTTTGGAATATCTGCAGCAACGGGGGGACTTGCAGGTAGTAAATGTTAAGCATTATGGCAGACAGTATTATGGAGACTAGCAAGGCTTACAGAAGAGTGTTTATTCTACTGCTAGCATTGATCAGTTATAACAATTTTGGATCATGATAAAGTAACTAATGCTCTCCTGCTCCCAAATTTCTGATATGCTTAGGCCTTTTACTAGCTAGAGGAGAAATACCTTCAGTTTGCCATGAGAGGGGTTAATCAGCCTCATTCACTGCTGTGTAAACTTTTGGGAGGACTGTGGGGGGATACTTTCAGCTGAAGATCCTTTGCAAGTGCAGGGTTGACCTGAGAAGTGGCAGGATGTTTCATGATGCATGACAGGATCAATTCACAGTGTTGATTTTTGGTTTTGTTTTATCCAGATGACCATGATGTCCTATCTTTCCTGACCTTCCAGTTGACTGAGCCTGGGAAGGAAGTAGTAAGTGTTTTTGTGCATAATTTGTAAAATGTTCTAGTATATTTTATGTTTAATCATCAGATCTTAGCATTTGCTTTTAGTCATATGTAAAATTTTTGCATGTAGCTGTGCTGTTGCCTGTTTTGGAAAAATCAGATATATACTGCAATGTTTCAGTAGCATTTTACTTATGTTTGAGACCAGAACTCTTGAAACAATACTGAATGAACAAAAATAGTGATACCAAAATAAAACATGCAAATGAACTAAAAAAAGTACACCGTCTTCAGAATGTGGACAGATAGTCTGGTTTTGCTTTCCACTTCCCATTCCTGTAGAACACTTCTCTACTGTTAGACAGCATCTGTCCTTGTAAAACTTGACTGTGATTTTAGAAAGTATACTTTTCAGGAAAAAGCTAGGATTTTCCATGGGATTGTCTGGTTCCTCACTTCAGCTTTCATGTGCTTCATTAATTGTTGTGTCATCAAACCTGAAGTCTAGACAGTGTTTTCTGCACAATGAGTCATGTATGGGTGGTAGAGAGCATTAAAATCCTCTTCTCCCTACTTTTTTCTCACTTTGGTAATGTATTAAAGCCCACATCAGATGCAGAAATTCCTGAAAAAGATAAAGAGAAGTATCAAGAAGAATTTGAACACTTTCAACAAGAATTGGATAAAAAGAAAGAAGAGTTTCAAAAGGAGCATCCTGATGTGCAAGGACAACCAGGCAAGTTATTTGAGCAGTTTTTCAGTTGTCAAGGAAAATGTTTGCTTTCAAGGATATTCAGAACTCAAGCCTGATGCTGTAGTATACTGACAGAATGAACTCATTGCAGGGAGTGTTGGGATAGCCCTTTTTTACAGTCTGGTAACGTGCACCTGCAGCTCTCAGCAAGTATTGGTTTGGAGAGTTTCTCCACTGGTTTTAAATGGAAACTTTAACAGTACAACAATGACACAAACAAATGAGAAATGCATATGTGTAACAGCTACCTGTGCTTTGTTTTTTCTTGCTAGCTGATGATCCTTTTGAAACTGTAAGCGATCGTGAGCTCAGGCAAATCTTTGAAGGGCAGAATCGAATTCATCTTGAAATCAAACAGCTTAATAGGCAATTGGACATGATTCTTGATGAGCAGAGGAGATATGTTTCTGCAGTCACAGAGGAGATTGCTAAAAGAGGAGCAGCTGTTTCAGGTCAGCAAGGACAGGTATGTTCAAAGTATACACTACAGTTGGCAGCTCAGCCTAACTTGAAAAAGCACAATTACTTTTTCCAAGATACATCGATTTTGTTTTTCTCACCATTCCCTCCTCACTCTACACCAGGTTTCCCAGCAGGAGATTGATACAGTTGTGAAAACTCAAGAAGAGGTCATTAAACAAGTAAATGAAATGAAGTGAGTGCTTTCTAAATATGTTCTGATTTTACACTTCCCACTTCTTAAATCATACTTATTATTTCAGTAGGAGAATATTGACAGAATGCAAATTTCTGTATGTTAACTCCTTAGTGGTGACTGATGGCATTTCTGTGATAAATACAAAGTAAGTTTGTGTCTGTAAGATGATTAAGTCTCTGTAATGGGCTTCAATTTATTGTGAGATTTCACTGCAATGATAAGGTAAGTACAGTGCCTTTGAAAGCAATCTCTTCCATAGAATGGCTAGTTTGATAACCTGCTACCTCATGGAAACTCGCTGCTGTAATTTTTGGGCCTTGATAACAATATGTAAATGCCATCAACTTATATCTGGTGAACCTTGAGTAAAAGTACCTTAGTGGAGTATGCATGTAGTGACTACATGAGTTATGTAATGTTGTGAGTAACAAGTTTTTGCTTTGTGTAAACAAAACCATCAAGGTGGGCAAGTATTATTTCTGAGAATAGGTTTTTACAAATTAAGATGCTTGTGCATGTGATAAGAATTAAGATTTATTGCTTATTTTCTTAACATTTCTCTCTTTTTTTTTTTTTTTTAGAGAAGCTCTCTTCTTATTTCAGTGTAGATACATACATAAAATGCTGGGTTGTTTGTGGCTTTGGATTTTTTCCTAATTTTGCTGCAGATGCCTAAGGCTCATATATAATCATAGAATCATAAAATGGTTTGAGTTGGAAGGGACCTTTAAAGAACATGTAGTCCAACTCCCCTGCAATGAACAGGGACACCTACAGCTAGGTCAGGGAGCTCAATATTGGTTATTACTTCATAACTGTCTGTTAGCATCATTGAGTTAGATACCACAAACTATTTCCTTACTTTTTTTTTTAATATGTTAATAGTCTTTAGGAACGCTAGTGTGCACAAGCTTTGGAGAGGTTTGTTTTACTGTTTGTTTTTTCTTTCCCTCCCTCCCTTCCGCTGTAGGCTAACCATTTTTAATCAGTTGAAATATGACTAGGCCTTTGGAGAGTGTTGTCTGTTCATGGCACCTGAAAGATGGACAGATCTGGAAAAAAATAATATACTCCCTTGACAGGAACTTTGGTGAAAAATGAGGGGAGAAGTGTCATTTTTATTTTCACTGGGAGTCCTTATTCAGGGAGTATTTGAAAAAGTGGTGATGTTCTTGAGAGCTTAAAAACATCAATGTGATCATTTAAATTAAAAAAAAAAAAAAAAAACAATCTGGCAAAAATTCTAGGCTCAAAGGTTTGTCACTGGTAGTGCAAAGACTAGAAGCCAGTCACTGTTGGTGCACTCCAGAGGTTGATAGTGGAGCCCTTACTTTTCAGGCATCTTAATTAATAATACAGGAAGTAGGGCTGGGTGCACACTCAGAAATTTTTCAGGTAATGCATATCTGGAATGGTTGTGTAGTTGGTTGGTTCAGTGGCTGGTTCAGTAGGACCTAGAGTTGTGAGATTCCAGAAGGATTCCATGAGATTCCCCCTGGAACCTCATGAAATTCAACATGGACAAGTCTAGGTCTAGTCCAAAAGTCTCCAAAAACACCTCTTGTGTTATGATGTTAGCCCATGAAGTCAGAGGTGGGTGATGGTTCTCTCTCAGTAGAGGTTGAAGCTTCCTGCCTGTACTCTGTTACATGTTGTCACCTCACAACAGATGGCAGCAGAGGGGCAGTCCAACAGAATGGCGTCTGACTTGGAAATGTGTATGGAGCTAAGGTGTGGAACTGAATTCCTCCATCCAGGAAAAAAAGGCACCAAAGTCAGTGGTTGCTGAATGTTTATGGAGATCAAAGAGTGAATGCTAGCATAGTGAGATGGTAGGTGGTGTGTTTCAGCAGTAGCAATCGTGGATCACCTCATCTGGTTTAGATTTTTATGGGCACAGTATGCAGGCTCTTGTTTACTGCTACCAAAAATGCAGAGCTAATGATGGTGGTCATGTTGGAAAAGTGTTCTGCAGTTTAGAATTTGCTGTCTCAAATGGTGTCATTATGCATGCTCTTTGTATGTGTTGTACTTTCCCTGGAAAGAAATAGGAGCCATTTCTTTTGAAGTGACCTTTGTTGCAGAGTCCTGCAGCTGCGAAGCAGTAACTCCACCCATCAGTACAGGCAGGGAACTGATCAGCTGGAATGCAGCTTTATAGAAATGAACATGACTTCTCGGGGACAAGAAGTTGGATGTGGAACAGCACTGTGCCCATATGGCAAAAACCACCAGCAGCACCCTGGTCAACATTAGAACATTGATAGTGAGTCAGGGGAGATAGTTCTATTTACTCAGCACAAGTGGTACCACATTTGGAGTCCTGGGTGCTGGAAGGGTCTGTAGTACAGGGCAGACAGAGGCTTGCTGGAGATTGTCCAGTGAATGACTATGAAAATAGTTAAGGGCCTCAACCTGTCATACAAAGCAGAGTGAGAAAGCTGGGATTGTAAAGCCTGGAAAGAAGGGGGGATATTACCAATGTGTATAAATATCTGAGTTTGACATGGGTGGAGGGTGAGGGTGACTTGTGGTGGAAGTGGTTGGAGAAGGAAGGCAGCCAGACAGACCCATTGCATGACAGAATAGGAGGTAATGGGCACAAACTGAAATGCAGGAATGTCCTCTTGACATAAAACAAAACCAAACAAAAACACCAAAAAATCAAACTTCTTGGTTGTTTGTCAAGAAAGGTTTTACAGCCTCCACCTCTGGGGATGCTGGAAACCTGACTGTGACTGAAGATACCTTGATTTGTGTAGTGCTCAGAAATATATCCAAAAAACCTTCCCACCCTATGTATTAAATGGTCACTTAGGATGTGTAGGGATGGCAAAGATGTTTTTTTTAATGTACATTGTATCGTGTAAGCTACTTTACTAGTCTTATCCTCATTTCTTGTGGGTTGGAGGGGGAGAGGAAAATATTTTCAAATAGTTTGAAACTCAGTTGTAATAAAAGTGCACGATCTTTATATATTGGCTACGTGCTATCATTTGAAGGTATTTTGGATATTCTAATGGTGTAAATATTTATGTTCTAGTGCCTTTCAACTGGTACATCAATATCCTTTGCTACTGAAGGCTGCAGCATCTGATGCACAGACTCGGATGTGAACGATCCAAATTGTTTATTACAAGTTCTCACATCGCTTATATATCTTCACAAGTTTTCTTTTTCTAGCTTTCCCATCCACCCCTACAACTTTCCCATCCACCTTTACATGCCAACAGAGCATTCTGCAAACACTCTTCAACCGTTCATGCAAGTGCTTATCCAATCAGAGCCGTGAGATGTTCTTTCTTCTTCTAGAGGTGTCCTTGGTTCTCATGCTGTTTATCTTGTTCCACAGCTGCTGCTCTGAACAGTTCTTCTTGTATTCCCACAGAAGGCCTTCACAGTAAGGGAGAAAGTGACAGTTGGAGATGTTTCCTTGCCTGGTTCATTTGTGTAGCATTTTTGTGGGGCTTGTCTGACTCAAACATTAAGACTCTCAGCTTTGTGTTGGTCTTGCTTTGCCTTTAATCAGAGACTTTTACCAGTTAATGCTCTCAGGAAACTTCTGTGTCTACAGGGATACTTGCGATGTTCCCAAATGATTAATAGTTCTGCTCTTTAAGGTGAAATCTAAAAACTGATGGAGATGTATGCTTTTCAAACTGAGTTACCAAATGAAGCAAAAGTCTTTGTCTTGAAGGTGCTGTACTGCTAAGATGGATTTGAGAAAGTTCCTATTTGGTGGTGATATTTTGTATACTGCTTCCAGGATGTTTAATGGTTGCTGTCATAAGCTGCAATGTCTTTAAGTTGGTTTCACAGTAGTGAAAACATTTATTATCTTCAGCTTCAAAAAAGAAAACGAACAAGCAAACAATCCAAAAAAATCCCAAACAGAAACCATTCCAACAACTGGGCATTGTGGTGCATAAGCAACTGTGGGTTTTTTGTTTTGCTTTCTTTTTGTCGTTGTTGTTGTTGTTGCTTTTTCCAGTATTAGTTCAAGGGCAGATCTTGTAATTCATCTAAGTAGGTCAGCTTCTTGTAGAATAAAGATTAGTGCTTCCATTTTTTTTGCACTTGTTCTTCCACGAAAGCTTTTGTTAATATTCTTGACAAATCTTTATACCTTGCAAGCAAATTAGATTTTCTTGTTAACATTGGCAGTCTGCCCTTTCAGTGACTGCTTACTAGGTATGAGTTTGTGTAACACCATCTTAATATTTTTCTTAGATTAAAAAGAAAAAAAAGAATGTTATAGATAGAAATGAACAGCCTGCTGTTGCATTGCTGGTCATCCCAGAGGAAAAGGACTTAAGGTCTAAGTAATTCTCTTGTCAAGATTTGTGGATTTCTTAATCATCTGATTACAGAAGAATCTTGTATGTTCATACAGTAGAAACTTAACAGCATGATATTGTCAATGCCAAAGTCATGTAAATTAAATTTGATACAGGCCGTGTCTGTTTAGGGAAGTTATTTTGCTTGATCAGAGAAAGTGGATCAGCCTGGGGGAAGGCAGCTATGCCTGACTGTGTTCATTGCACAGGGATGGTGGTACTGGGAGGGAGATGGCCTCAGCCACTCTGCCTTCTGTGTTAGCACAGAGAGCAGTGGCTGAAGATAACAGTGGTGTGCATGTGGATGGAGCTGCTGTCAGCGTTAATTGGGCAGTGTTTGTGTTGGGGTTTGCATGGGTCGTTTAAGGAAGTCTTCCAGTGAAGAATTTCTGAAGTCAGTTGTTACAGCACTAATTCAGAGCACAGGTAGATGTTAACCAATCAACTTTAATCTATTCTTATATTCATATAAGAATATGAAATAATTCCTGGGTTATGTGCTAATGCTACTTGGGTTGTGCTTAATTAATTCATGGCAGATGGTGATTTTTATTTATTTATTTATTTATTTATTTATTTATTTGCATTCATTTTGTCTGCGTAAGTGTTACTGATTCAAAACTGGTCACATAGAATGAGAGCAAATGAGGGATGTTTCACCTGGTTCTGCTTGCACTGGCATGTAGAAGCAAGCAGCTACTTTTTTTAAACCTTCCTGATAACTTTTCTAATATTGCAACACAGCTATTGAGGTAAATACGGAGTTTTCAAAAAGTCTGAGTGTTTGCAGTGCAGCATTTTACCTGGAATTAACAGAAACAAAACTGGGAAACTTTTTTTCCTAGTGTGCTGGAAGAGGGGTTGAGTTTTCAGAAGCACAACATGAAAGAGGGAAGTTGTAGGACATTACTGGAAGAGAGGAGAAATTTTTGTTGTTAACATGGGAAGTGTGCAGGATACTGATACTATAGTGTAGATTTAATTAGCATGCAACTCTGATTTAGTCTGTAGCTACAGGTGATTAGGCAGCGTGCCTAATTACTGCATCTACTACAGTGAGACTGCAGTTGTAAACTAATAAACATGTCTGTGTTTACAGTTTTTAGACCTGTAACTGTGCCTTTGAATATGATCATTCAAAAAACCTTTTTAAAGGTTTTTTCATTATTGTTTTAAATTATTTCTTTTGATTCTGTGCCTTGAAGAGCAACTGATGGAAAGCTGAAAGATGGACATCATTTTAATGAAGATGCTTAATGACACAGGTTTTGGTGCTTAACCTAGAGTCAAACACAAACTTCTTAAAATCACTGTAATATATTCATAGCACTTAAGATGATGTATAGTTACTGATTTACCCAATGACATTCAGGTTTTATTTTATATTAAATTGCTGACTGCTGTTCAAGGAGATAAGACTTTACCTCGAAGTCATCAAAACAAGCTCTCATCTGCACAAAAATGTAAAGTTATAAATGAATTAAAAAGGAATCCAAAGACATACATTTGGATTCGTTATTCTGTTAATAATGGAGAGATTAACATTCACATGATAAATATTTTAGCTGTAGAATAATCCTCTTTGCAACTGAAAAGAGACATCACAGCCGGCAAAAAAACTATAAATGTATTGATTAGAGATTAAGTATTTTTCTCTCATTGATTAGTTCTGTTTGAGGTAAGCTAGTTATGGAGCCTGAACTTTTTAGGGATTTAATTTGATTTGCTGTAGCAGGAAAATTAATTCACGTGAAGGCAATATTAAGTATTATGACAGAGTGTATGGGAAATGAGTTTCTCGCATAAATGATAATCACAAGGTTGTATCTAAATCTTTTCTTATCCCTAAAGCCTCTTCTTTATTTTTATTTCTTACATGACTGCTTTTATTTATTTATTTTTCTGTAACAGCTTTGATTTTCTTCAAAGATTGTATTATACTCTGTTTATCCTAAAGCCTTGTCGGGAGCTGTGGATGAAAGACTTGTTTTGGACTTCATCAGTCGTGCAAAGCAGATGTTTAGCAATAGAATATTTGCCAGATCTTCATTTCAGCACAACTTTAGGAGCTGCTGCACTGTACAAATTGAAACTGTCTGTGGAATCAAGCATTTAATGTGGTAGTTTGATTGAGGAATTACCTCTTGATGTGTATTCTTGGAGGCTGGAAACTTTTATTTTGGGGCAGTTAGGTATTTTAAACTAATCTTAATGGGCTAAAATATTTGCAGCATAAACGCTGTTTGTATAAGAACTGTTTTGTGTTGAGTGATGGTTTGCTGTCTGTCTCTTTTCAGAAATGCCATGGCTGACACTCTGAGGTTGATCAGTGGAGCTCAGCATCCTGGCTCTGCGGCAGGAGTCTACGAAACAGCACAGCATTTCAGTGACATCAAAGAGCACCTTCATATAGTGAAAAGGGACATTGAGCATCTAGTGCAACGAAATATGGTAATTTATGTGCTGATAGTGTAAGGCATGACTGTAATACTTCTTTATTTGGCTGTTAGTAAAAAGCTGGGATGAGCCAGCATGCAATTTACAGAGCAATTAATCCTTCATTAAGCTGCTTTGCTAAAACTGCACTGCCCTGACCCAACTGTATGATCTGTGTCTTGATGAGAAGTTTTGCACAAAGAACAGGATTTTTACTCTAATTCCTGTGGAAACAAGGTCATGCAATTAGTTTTTCTAGGTGATTTTTTGGGTTTGTCCCACTGCTTTACAGCTCTGTGCGGAGGAGACTTCTAAATTGAAGCACAGAAGGGAGAGGTTTAATCAGTGAGAACTTAGGCAAACGCTACTTAAGGTCTCTAAGTGTGAAAGATGACGGTGTTAGCATTCAGGAGCACCTTTAGTCTTGCCTAGGTAACAATTAAGCTGAATTAGCTTGTGATCCCATGCAAGCTTTTTAATTTCTGCAATAATTTACTAAAGACCTATTCGTTCCCCTCTGACCCTCAGATTAGTGTTAGTCAGCTTGGTCTGAGTAGCTGTCACTTTTGTCTGTATTTTTCTGTTTGTGTTTTAATTTTTAGATCATGTTAAGAGGCCTTGTTTTGTATCTTATTTACCAGTCTTTTAATGGTGTGTCCTGTTTGCTCTTTTCTCAACTACTGCTTCTCTTGTCCTTTTAGCCATCTAATGAGAAACCAAAATGTCCAGACTTGCCACCATTTCCATCGTGCTTATCTACAATGCACTTCTTCATATTTGTAGCAGTGCAAACAGTGTTATTCGTTGCTTATATCATGTATAGGTAAGTATGTATTTTTTTTTTTTTAAAGCCAACAGGGCAAGTAATTTTAGAACTTCTGAGGGGAAATAGAATTGCAATGATATGAGCAGTCATTCAGATTGGAAGAGACTTGGGAGGTCTTGAGTTCAGCCTTGTGCTCAAAGCAGAGTTAGCACTGAATTCAGACCAGGTCATTTAGGGTTTACACTGATTAGATCTTTTAAAACCTCAAACTCCCTAGTCTTCTGGGACCCCTTTTTCAGTGTTTCATTACTGTAATGAGGCTTACTTTGTTTCCCTCCTCCTTGTATATCTAGTGGAAACCTTCCTTGCCTCAGTTTGTCTCTCTGTCTGATGATGTGTATCTCCATAAAAAAAGACTTAGATTCTTTAACACTTTCCAGTATGGTACTTTCCAGTACCACAGGCACTCGAAAGCTGTGTCAAGGCCTCCTGAAGCTGCTTTTGTCCAGCATGAAGTCCAGTTCCCCTGGCCTGTCCTCCTGAGGCCTGTGCTTTAGCCCCTGACCATTCTTGTGGTCCTCTGCTGGATTTACTGAAGTTTATTAATGTCTTAACAAAATCTGATGTGATCTGAGCAAGTCAACTTTTTCTTAGTGATGTTAATTATAAAGGGTTATTGATCGTTGATGGAGCTCTGAGTGTCATGTGGAGTTTTTTTGTTTGTTTGCTTTTAAATTGGAATGTTTGCTCTCTTCTTCCTCCCTGTGACGTTTTAATATTCAAATTAAATATAGATGAAAAAGAAAACCTATGGAGAGTAAGGACTTATTTGGTTGTCCTCTCTCCTGTTTCTTTGCTGCATACTCCTATCAAGATAAAGGGACCAAGATAGTTGCAGTACTCTTCGAAGACAAAATGCAGTTTGCTATCTCTGTGGAAGGATACCTGCTATTAATATGATACTAATATAGCTGGTGGCGCTTTTGTTTCTGTGTCTGCTTCTCCACAAAGTGGAGAGAGTACATTTTTTATGTATGTCATGTTATTCCATCAACTGGGAAGATGGCTTCCCAGATTAAATGAGCAAGTCTCATTCAGTTCTTCTTGATGCTCTGTAATTCTAGCTTTTGTGCATGATAGATCCTCCACGTCCACTGAGAAAAACAAAAATATTCTATGTAAGAGGGAAAAGGAAGACCCATTTCAAGCAAGTTCATTAATCACTTCTTTTTGTTTCCTTTCCTGTCATGCAAAGGAAAATCAGATGTTGAGAAGCTTTAGAGAATTTATTTTTAAGATCCATACACAGTTTGTTTTCTACCCAGAATTTGTTTCTGTCTGTGATGCAGAATTGGAACTGCAGTCATGCTGCATGTATTTTTGTGAATAGAAGAAATTTCTGCTTTTTACTATATGACTTAAGATATGAGTTTTTTACCATCTGACTCAACTCTTTACAAGAGTAGATAACAGCAGGACAGGGGGAAAATGGTTTGAAGCTGAGGGAAGGAAGATTGAGGTTGGATGTCAGGGGGAAGTTCTTCACAGAGAGAGTGGTGAGGTGCTGGAACAGCTGCCCAGAGAGGCTGTGGATGCCCCGTGCATCCCTGGAGGTGTTCAAGGCCAGGTTGGATGGGGCCCTGGGCAGCCTGGGCTGGTATGAAATGTGGAGCTTGGTGGCCCTGCATGTGGCAGGGGAGATTCATGATCCTTGAGGTCCCTTCCAACCTGGGCCATTCCGTGTGATTCTGTGACTTGTTCTCCATTTCCCTTAGTTTCTGTTGAGAAGGAATACTTCTAATCCTAAAACAAAATAAATATTTGATTAAACTGGGTAGCTAGTTTTTTTTCCTTCATGCTTAATGAATACTTTTCTGATTTTTTCTTTCAGGAGTCAACAGGAAGCAGCAGCCAAAAAGTTCTTTTGATGACCTCTTCCTTTTGTGTGTACATAACAGCAGTATGTATGCACAGAAAATCATGCAATTCTGTACATGAGGGAAAATGTAGTGTTTGATATACTTCAGTACTGTGAATTACATAATTTTGTCAAACAAAATGTGTTCTTATTTAGGCTGTTAATTTTAGGGTTAAAACAGACCTGGGAGCAGCGGAGTGAATGCTAGGTAGGGGAATAATGCAAGTCCTATCTAGGTCTCTGTTTTCAGTGAGATTTCTGATCAATGCTGGAAGGCAAACACTGAATTCCTCCTGTTTTGTCAGAATTTCAGGGGAGGGATTTGAAGCACCCCTGTTAGGTGGCTGTTGATAATGAGAATTTGCAAAGTGATGACCTGTGCAGAAAACTTGCCACTGAGAATCCATATTAGATTAGGAAAAAAAACAACAACGAACAATAAAACCACTGCTCTCTAAAACCCTCCAAAACCAAAACAAGATAAAATGAAAAATAAAACAAGAAAAACAAACAAACAAAATCCACTAAAATTACACTTTTTTTTTTCTGGTGAAAATTTATTATAGACATTTCATTTCTTTATTACTTGGATCTAATAGCTTAAGAATGATTTTTGGAAATTTAGCTCTTCATGAAGTATAGATTTTAAGTTCTCTTTAGTGCATGAACACAAAGAGAAGCCTTTTACAGGCTAGTAATATCTGGAATAGAATGCAGGCTGCATGGAACAAGCTAACAGATGTTTGTCTCCTTATTCTGGGTTTTGTTCTTAGGCAGTGAGAGAAAACATACTGTAGTTTCTTCTGGTGTATTGAAAGATTTTTTCTTTGTAGTTTCAAGTCTGTCTAATTTTAGAAATTTTTGGAACATTTTTAGGAAAGGTGCCATAGTTTGATACCTCTTCCAATCTGAATTTGTTAACGGTGTGTTTAATTGATGCCTTTATTGTTATAAAGCTGTCTTGTGTCTTTCGTGTATCAAATACAGATGCTTTGATTTAAGTACTGACCTGGCAAGTATTCTGAACTACACATACTGACTGTGAAAGGATTTCTTCACAAGCTGTTGATACAGGCATGTTTGTTAGCCCAGCAGCTATTGCAGAAGCAGTATTGTGTGTCAGTTCCCAGTTTAATATCAAGAGCATAAGGCTGATCACATGCTGTTGATATTGTTCATTAGATGAACATTTTGCTTCAGGAGTGAAACAAACGAGAAAGCTCAAATTAGAATCGTGGAATGAATTTGTTTTGACTTGTTTACTTACCTGTGGTAACTTTGTCTTTGAACTATGTGTAGAATGATGATATTTCTATGTTTTTCCTTCCAATTCTATGAAACACACAGATGTGTCTGGATATTTCACTTTTAAACAATGAGTCTGTCTGAAAATCTGCAAAATGTGTCTGTAATCTAGCATGATACTCCTGCAGTTCCACAGTCTGTTCTCTTGGAGTGCAGTGCTTGCTGCCAAATTCACTGTAATGAAGAACACTCTAGCATTGTGCCTGACAATTTGAAGACGTGATAAATCTATGCAATATGTTTTGTTACCGAAACAGTGCTCCAAAAGTGGGTGTTTGTGCTGTACCAATAAATTGATACTACCTACACACCTATTTATGTACTTACAGTATGTAGCATGCTGTAAATGATAGAGCTTTATACATTCATTTCCAAATTTGAGACTTTGCTGTACTAATTGGAGAAACTACTGCTTCAGGCTCATCTTGCTGGATAAGCAGGACAAGTCAATGAAAGAACCTTTTCAGAGAACCCAGAACAGCACAGGAGTTTATCCATTCAGTTCTAACACCAGCAAATATTTACAGGTGCCTTGAGTCTAACCGATTACAACTGAATATATTTTCTTATATTGCTCTGAAAATAGTGTTGTTCTTGTCCATTGCTAGCTTTCCTGCACAGTGCAACACCTAAGTGAACTCCCTCTCTGAATACAGGCTTTGCAAGGCAGGAAGGCTAACAAGTGCATTCTGAAAGGTCAGGTGTATCCATCTGGCATGGTGAGGAATAGCTCCAATGTGTCAGTTGGAGGAAGCCTGCATTTCTTGTTACTGTGAATTTCTCCAATTACAACTTTGTTTCAAAACTGGACAAACAATGCTGTTGTCTTTTCTTGTAAAAAAAAAAAAAAAAAAAATTGGGGATAGAGGCTAGCAACATACTTGAATCTACAATTGTATCCTCAGTATGGGGCTCAGCTTGTGTGTCGATGCTGCTAGTAGATCTGACCTGTGTCTGTGTGCATCTGGGGATCATCTGTGTTAGTGAGCAGAAGGTATGAAGTGCACCATCCTAAAAGTGATAACTTTGCTTCATTTCACAGTCTTCACTCCCTGGAACATCAGTAATTGCCTCGCCACTCACTGGATCAAAGGAAAACTTCCAGTTATCCAGCCCAAACCTTGTCCCGTCTGTTCTTGAGGTGATAGCAGCAAATTTGGACTTTGAGAATATTTGTCAGTCAGTGTGGCCTCTTCTTGTGGTGGGCTACTAGAATTTTCTTTCAACATTGATAGGGCGTTTCATTTTGTCAAGTGAAATTTCAGGACTCACAGATGAAGGCAACTTGGAATCCAGTATGTTTGACAATATGGAGGAGACCAAGAAAATAACAGTATTTGAAGTAGCAAATATTTGGCAGTGTCAAGGGGATCTCATTTTCTTAAAGCTTATTAAATAAATGGTCATACCAGAATCTCTCTAGCAAATTTCAGTCATTTGTGAATTACTTTGTTGATTGTTTGGAGAAAATGACATCAATACATCAGTTACTGTAACACTGAAGACTTTCTACTGTTTAAAAAACATAACACACAGCTGACATTTCCTGTTGTTTGTTTCTGACTGATGTAAACAGAGGGTTGGAGTTCAGAGATAACCTTATTTGAATAAAGATGCATATTTTTAATAAACTTCTTTCTTGTAATCTGTTATGTGTCACTGAAGTCCAGGGGATTCAGTGATCTTCAGAGATCCTGAAGATTCAAGGGATCTTCAGGACCTCAGCTCAGCCCTGCCTGATGCTGGATGTTTAAGGTCAAGTGAAAAGTAGCGTGCCAGCTCGGAGGTTTCTTAACAGTGAATTAAGTAACTTGCAGGCTGCTTTGATTAAACAAATGACCTAATTGTTCTGAGCTGAAGGTTGTGTATCTGTCTGTAGCTCCAGGTTCACTAACTGCCCTCGTCTTGGTGCTCTGGTCTGGTTTCTTGGGGTACAACAGCACAAAACAAGTTAGCCATTCTTGATCAGTCGTCTTCATGGTTTCTGTGTGTGCATGTCTGTTTTGTTTCATTCATACTGTCCTATCCAGTAACTTTGCAGTAACCTGCAAGAATATGAGCAATCTAATTTGCCACTGGCTTTCCTCAACCAGAAGCAAACTCTGATACACTGAAGATGTATCTTTAATTGAAGCTCTTCAAGCTGAGAAAGACTCAGAAATCACATTTATCTCTTTATAGGTGACCTTGTGTTCAGACTGCTGCATGAAAGGCTGTTCCAGGGGAATGAAGAGGACCTTTCAGAGATGCACAGATATATCTGAGCTGTGTGGTCAGAGTTTGCTGCTGCTGCTGCTGTTTTGGGAGCACAGTCTCTTGTTTGGATGCTTGCATCTATAGTGGCTTTGTTCTGTTTTTTTTCCATGGGCTTTTGGACTTTAATTCACTTATTTCAGGACTCCTGAGTCTATTCTGATGTTGGAGATGCCTCTGTTCATTGGATGTACAAATCAGGGGCTTTTTTCTTTTTTAAAGAAAAAAGCTCAGTTCCACCAGGTAACGCAGGAACAGAGCCTTTAGTCTTGATTGAATTTAAACTGAAAGTAAAGAGCATTGATTTAAATGTGAGACGTAGCAACACCAGCACTTATAAGCACCTAGCTGTAAGTTTTTATTAAGTCAATGATCCTTGTAAACAGCAAGATACGGTCATTGCTCTGTAACTTCAGTACATTTTATAACACTTCAGTCTTCAGTTTCAAATCTAACATTAGAATGCCTGTTCTCGAGTTCACGAGACTCATTTATACATAGTCCTGAGAGTGCATAATGAGTATCAAAATCGATTTTGATTAAACAAATGAAATACTTCCTTGTTATCTGCAGTCTATCAAAGTAATTTTGTGGTGATTTGGAGTTCTTGCTGCCGTGGTGACTCTACCTGAAAAATAGATTTCCAAGTTTCTCGTTTAATCATTAATAATCCAGGATTACAGAAGGTCCTGTTTATTTTTTTTCTTTTTTTTTTCCTTTTTTTTTTTTTTTTTTTTTTTTCCCCAGTTTTAAATAGTAACAGGACTGCTTTAATTAGAAAGGCTCTAATGCAGATTAAGGCATTAGGCAGACTGGAATCCTCCCATCTCAGTGAAATTATGAGAGTGCTGAGAGAACCATTTGGATAATCAAGACTACAGAATATTCCATTAAGCCATGGTGCAGTCAGGCATAGTAAAGCAAACATTCGAAACCCCAAATCATCAACTTCTGAGACCTAGCAGGTGATGTTTTTTCCCCAGATGATCTATGGTCTCGGTAGCAGATCCTGCAGACCTTCACCTGGATGGAGCTGTGGGGTTAATGATGCGAGCAGAAGTTGGAAAGGTGAGGGGGCTGCACAGAGAATCCATGTGAAGGGTGCGTTGTAGCTCAGATTCATTTCTCCTTTACTGAGAGTTAAGATCCAAACCAACAGGGATTGTGGGCAGCACCAGTCATGGTGAAGGATGGGGAAGAGTGAAATAAACCAGCACAAAGCAGGAAGATGTCGTTTGCTTTTGATTAGGATTTTATTTCAGGTCCATTTTCTTCCTGGGAATGTCCTGGTCCTTGGGAAAGTGAGAGTTTTAAGGCAGAAGAAGTCAAAGTGCCATTGCACACTCTTCTTTTTTCAACTATAATTAGCTTAAGGTATTAATATAAAAAGTAGGTGGCTGCATCTAATGATTTTTGTGTGTGTGTGTGTAATCTGAACCATCTGCCTCTAGATATTAAGGAGTTCACTCTTTAATCCAGATTATGGCTGACAAACTGGTTTTGGCATTCACGTTTCACTAGCACTGTGCCCCCGAGGAGCTGCTGTGGCTGTAGAAACTCTCCTGCTTGCGACTGTTGATTTTGGAAATTACTCTTTTGTTGGTTGGTTGGCTTTGTCTTTCCCGTGGTGGTTTGCTTGTAGCTCCTTTCTTCTTAAGGATGGCCTTCCTAATGAAAAGCATGCTGAGCAACCAGGTGAAGAATTTGGGGCTTGGAGGTGGAGGAGAAGAAAGCAAAGAAGAAAGCACTCCTTCCGACCCAGCAGCTGCTGCAGGAATGACCAGAGAGGAGTATGAGGAGTACCAAAAGCAAATGGTTGAGGAGAAGTGAGTACCAGTTCCCTCATTAGCAGCACGGGGCTGTGTCTTTGTGACCTTGGGCAGATAGAGAGATCCCAAGAGAAAACCCAAACGTCAGCTCTCCCCTCCACCTCTGTTTTAAATCTTTGCTAGAGGCTTTCCAAAACAGCAGCTCGCCAAATGCAGATGGCAAAATGCTGTGTTCGCCCTTTTCCCCTCATCTTCTGACTCTCCCTCTCTCCTCTGCTCCCTCTGCCCTCTCCTCAGCTGGATCCAATCTGAACAGAGGTTCTTTTACCTCCCACATTTTCCCATGGGTGTGAGGATGGTTGTGGCGCAGGAATGAATTCTCACGGGGCATGATTTGCTCTCCTACACCTCTGTGCAGAGTAAACTTCGCTTTATCCACGTTGATCATGGCAGATGTAGAAAAAGTAATGCGTGCTGTGCCCTAGGGGTGATGTCGACTTAGAGGAAAGTTGTTAAATGGTTCCTTTTTATCGCTGCACTTTTTGTTACCTTTTGTAAAATCGACTTAAATCGAACTGCGCTTCGCGACTGGTCAAATCCCAGAAATGTTATTTCTTTTTCTGTATGAAAACGGGAGTAAATCAGAGGACTTTTAGCATGTGGGAGTTCAAATCGTGCATAATTATGGAGAAAACAATTGACTTTTAAATCTGAGATGCATCTGTTCTTCTAATGATCAATTACATAACGATTGTGTAAATCCTCTGTGTAAGATGATTATAGGTGAAAGGTTAATGACCGATGGAATCCGAGGTATCCAGTTCTGTTTTTAGCAGCAGCCCTTTCTATCGTATCACCTCAAACAGGTATCATTGGATCTGGAATAAAATACAGGATATTTTGCTTTATATTTTTGTCATCAGCTGCGGGCGGAAGGGCTCTCTGCTGAGGCTGGAGAGCAAACCAGGGTCGCTGGGGTGGGGAAAACTCTTGTGAAGAGTATTATTTGTACCAGAGAGGTGTGTCTTCACATACAGAAACGTGCTGAGGAGTCAGTGCAGGAGTGCCTCAGTTTGGGAAGATGGGATTTACTTTCAGTTTGCTGAGGACAGTCCATGCTGTGGGGTTATGTAAGAGAGGTCAGAGAGGTGATGAGCTCTGCTGGAGTCGTGGCCTTTGATACATGGATGTCCTGGCGTTGGCCAGGATTCTGTGCTTTGTTGGCCTTTTTATGTATTTTTATTTTTATAATGCAATGAAACTCACCAGAAAGGCAGGGATTGCTGTTTCTTAGGAGAACATGCAGTTCAGGGGAGCAAGCATGTGGTTTCTGCTGGCAATCTCCAGCATTAAGGGCAAGGGGCCACCAGTTGCACACCTGCTCCTGGCTGTCATGCAACAGCCTCTATACCTGAGTCCTGTAGCTGCAGCACTTTGCATTCCATAATTAAACCCTGCAGCATACCAGGACCCAGGTAATGGGGGAAGGTTGCCAAGTCTTCCAGCAACACCAGGGCAAGTGAAAAGTTCAGGTCAAGCAGAGAATCCCCCCCTTCCACGTCTCATAGGTGTCACTGGAAGGGATGCGATGTCCCAGAGGGGACATTCCCAATGCTGTACGACCAGTGACTGCTCCTATGGAGGAGTGGCTGGGGAAGAGAAAGGTTGAGAACGAATGGGAAAACAGGTCACTAGCATACAAGCCTTCTCTTCACAACCATCCCCCTAATCACTGGCTGAATGATGCTTAAGTTGGCTTCCAGTTAATGAGAACCGGAAAGGAAAAAAAAAACCCAAAAACTCATTTGCTGAAGGAGAGGGAAAATAAATAACATTTCATCTTGCAAGTAGTTTGGATGTTGGATGGAACAAAACAAATTTTGGCTGAGAATTTCTATGAAAAAGGAAGGGGAGGGAGAAGGCAGGGGGGAAGAACATTCAACATCATCTCATAGAATGGCTCAGGTTGGAAGGGACCTCAAGGATCACGAATCTCCAACCCCTGCCACACACAGGGCCACCAACCTCCACATTTCATAGCAGCCCAGGCTGCCCAGGGCCCCATCCAACCTGGCCTTGAACACCTCCAGGGATGGACGGGGCATCCACAGCCTCTCTGGGCAGCTGTTCCAGCACCTCACCACTCTCTCTGTAAAGAACTTCCCCTGATATCCAATCCAAACCTTCCCTCCTGAAGCTTAAGACCATTCCCACTTGTCCTGTCACTATCTACCCATGTAAAGTGTTGATTCCCCTCATGTTTATAATCCCTTTTTAAAAATGGAAAGTACACATGTCATCAGACATCTTTGAAGACACACAGTGTGCAAATAGATACAAGTGATCTAACAAAGAATCTTCAATTTAATGAGTGCTTTTTATAAAATCACAGCTAGAGGAAGTTCTTTTCCATAGAGGAGAAACTGGCATGTGCTGTGATAGGAACTTTTGGGACAATAAATGGGTTCAGAAGAATCTGGGAGGAGTTGGAGCTGGCAGAGGGCACCCAGGGCTGTTAATGACGTAGGGCCAGTTTCCAGTTCCAGCAGTTCCCCAGCTACTGATCTTGAGATTAATCCCCCTGACATCAGTTTGTTGTTATCGCTGCTTTTGTGCCTTTGGGCAAGTTAGATAACCTCAGGAGTAACTGCTGCACCCAACTTTCTGTAGCCCAGCATCTGCCTCGGTGTAAAGGACAACTGTTTTATCAATAATATCTTGAAGAAACTTCTTTCTTTCCTTTCTTATTTTCCAGGATGGAAAGAGATGCAGCATTTGCACAAAAGAAGGCGGAAAGAGCCTGTCTGAGGGTTCACCTGAGAGAGAAGTACCGACTCCCCAAGGTAAGGTGCAGCTCACAGCCCTGTCTCAGCCCAGTGGCTGCGTGTGGAGCACACAGCTCTGCAGCACAGAGCCTGGAAGCAGCTCCTGCCTTTGTCAGTGCGATGCCACTGCAGTATGGGACCCAAAGTGGCCCAGGTGACATTTCTTGTAGAGTCATCACAGAACGGTTTGAGTGGGAAGGGACCCTTAAAGGCCATCAGATACTGAAGATACTGAAAGGCCACTCTCAGGTCTCTCAGGAGCCTTCTCTTCTGCCTGGTCATTGCATAAGATCCGTTTTTCCCAATCAGTAGATGAATGGAATGGAAAGATGCTTGTAGTTATCTCTGTAACGTCTGAAATGGGAGAGCAGACAAGCTGGATCTCTGCTCAGATCCAGCCCTACCAGCAATGTGCATGGCTGCAACTCAGCGACAAGCACCGGTTTAAAAACAAAGCAATGCAAAAACACCCTGAAAGCAAATAGGGAAAATCACTGAAGAGTCTTCTACACTTGCACTCTCCAAAATTCAGAATACTGATCTGTACCATTGTCCTCCAAGAAGTGGAAGCAGACTGCCCGGTCTTTTCTTCTTTAACACTGCTGACACTGCAAAGTATTCCCAGGAAAACCAAAGCACAGAGAGCAGAAATGGCAAGGCACAAACCTGCAGGTTTCCTAACAGCAAGCAGAGCTTTGCTGGCTCCCAGACCAGATCAGAGAGCCAGGACAGAAAGGATGGGAGCGATTTGTCCTCACAGCAGAGAGGACCAGCAGTGACATGCTGACAGAAATCCATGCTGCTTCGTGTCATAATTGGCTGGGGAAGGAGTTTGATGGCTGTACAGAAGTGTTCAGGGTGTTGAAAGGAAAGCTCACAATGAGGAACTGCAGGGAGAGCTGGTGATGTGGGCAGTGCCTTGCTGTGGGGGAGAAGGGAAGGGAAGGGAAGGGAAGGGAAGGGAAGGGAAGGGAAGGGAAGGGAAGGGAAGGGAAGGGAAGCCGTCTCCGTGGGGTGTGGGTGAGTGGCTCCAAATGGACTGCTGCTGCTCAGGAAATGGCCTCAAGGGCATCACAGGTGGGTTGCTGGAAACATCAGTGGAGCCACAGAGAGGAAATATATGTAGTTGAAGAATCATTAGGAAAGGAATAGATGGCAAAACCAAAAAACATCATTGGATGGCAGCAGCTGTCTTTAGCAACTTGAAATTGTAATGCAGATTTAATCGTTCTGTCTTGAAGTAATGATAAGAGAACAGGAAAAGTGATGAAATATCAAACAGCCTTGGCACAGGAGCATCAGATGTGAGGGGATATGATGGATGTGTGTCAGACCATGAGTGTCATGAAGGCACTGAATAGGGAACCGTTGTATCACTGTTTCCAAACACCAAGTGAGATGGAAAGTATTCCACAGGACGTTTCCATCAGCAGTGGCAGCCAAGGTGCTAACATCAAGCTAGGTGCCTGGCTTTTGGTGTTTGTTAGAGGAGAGGAATCCCATTCTTGTTCCCTCTGGAAATACAGAAAAATATGAAATAATTCTCCCATTCTTTATTTTGCCTCCCCAAAAACCAAAGGGCATTGTTTTCCAGTTTCTGCAGTATCTCCACATTATCTGTTGTGCTATACTGTGCACTGTCCCTAAAATCTGAGATTCTCCTCTGGTCCACAGAAATGAAACCCTCTCTGTTCACCCAGGTGGGTCTGTGGCAGTTGGTTTTGCTTTTCCATTTTGTTCAAACCTCCCTGCACTGTTAGCTCCGACACAGAGCACTCAACCCAAAGCAGCCACGTGGGGACACTGTCATCACTGCAAAGATATCAGCACCTCGAGTCTCATCCATCCAAACCTCCTGAGAACTTCATCATTATCCGCTCCACGTTCTGACTGCTCATCTTCCTTGCTTCTCCCTTTGCAGATAACGCCATGACCTTGTGATCTGTGCAGTCTCTGTGTTTTTCTCTAAGATCAGGAAGTCCAACTGCCCAACTACCAATAATACAGACCACTAAACCGTGTTCCTTAGTACCTTATCTACACGTTCCTTGAACACCACCAGGGCTGGTGACTCCCCCACCTCCCTGGGCAGCCCATTCCAGTGCCTGAACACTCCTTCAGAGAAGAAGTATTCCCTAATATCCAATCTGAACCTCCCCTGGTGCAAGTTGAGGCCATTCCCTCTCATCCAATTGCTGGAGCAGAGTCCAACCTCCCCCCTCCCATCACAACGTCCTTTCAGGAGTTGTAGGGAGCGATGCAGTCTCCCCTAAACCTCTTCTGCTCCAAAATGACCCAACCCATTTCCTCAGCTGCTCCCACAGCACTGTGCTGCAGACTCCTCTCAGTTCCATTCCCCTCTCTGGATGCACTCCATGTCTTTCTTGTTGTGAGGGAGTCGAAGAGCCTACATTCCCTGTTAATTTGGAGCCCAGGTAGTTAAAATCCTGGCTTTTGTTTCTGTGTAATTATGATATTCTATTTGTACGTGGCTCACATTTCCCAGCCCCTCCTGTTCTGTGATGAGGCATTTAATTGGGGTGATGCCCCAAGCCAGGGGTGAGAACAATCCATGCAACTTTTTACTCTCTACATTAATTCAGCAGCAGTAATGAAATTAACTATCAAGAGGGAGTCCAACACATCAAGACATCCTCAGATAACAAATTATTAATACTCCAATGTATTTCATTCATAAAGGCTCAAAGGCTGCAGGGAATAGTGAGTCACCCCAAAACCTGTGGGCGTCTGCCCCGTTGTGACCCAATTTGAAGAAAAACAGAGGGAAAAGCCTTCTGGGAGCTGTCAGCTCTCGTGATTTTAGCTTTGACAGAGCACAGGCCCTGCAGAGTGGTTGTGCGAGGCTGCAGCATGGATCCTGCCTGCTGACACCCACCAGAGGGATGTGTTCTGAGGGAGTCGGGGAGATAAAAGCAAGGTTGTCCTGCTACGTGGATAGGCTCTGCCATCTGATGGCTGCTGCTGTCCTAATCTATGCTACATCCTTCACTGACCATCGATTACCTGAAAAGAATGCTGCAATTTTATCTGATCCCCCTTTCACCTCAACACCGGTTTCATTGGGATTCATTGCGTTACAAAGGCTTATCCACAGCCCAAAATTACCAAAGGAGAAGAGTCTGCAAGCATTTCTTCTTGCTGCGCTGCTCTGCATGGTTTGAAGGGAGCCATTTCTGTTTTTCTTCTCTACCCTTTTCCTTCTTTTTTCCCCCCTTTCTTCTTTTCATTTTCTTCTTTTTTCTTTCTCTTCTTTTTCTTCTCTTCTTTTTCTTTTCTTCCTTTTTTTCCTTTCCTTTTTTTTTTTTCTTTCTTTTTTTTTTCTTTAAGTTATGATATTTTCAATGAAAAATTTACAACAATTCCATTTAAAAAAGAAAACTTTGTGAACTCATTTTCTTTCTGGAAAGAAAAGATATCCAGAAGATATTGTTGGAAAAAAAGAAAAAAAATAAATCATATATATTATTTTAAAACAGGCGGGGCTTTTTGATGTCAGTACCTTAATGTAGTAAAAATACCCCACTGACATATTTCTACAGAAATGGGGTGTTTTGTATGCATGAAAAAAACTGCTATCAAACCTAAGCAGCAATATTAAGCACCTTTGTGCCAATGGTTTGCTGTTGCCTTTTTGACCAGAGGGAAGAATCTCACCTGGCCAAAGGCAGCGAAGATGTTTTGTGTAGTTTCTTACCCTTAATATGGGAGGAATATGAGTGGTCAGGATCTCTCAGCAGCTTGGCCTTGTGTCTGCTGAACTCATTAAGGGCTGACCGCCTTTTGTTTGGCAGAAACATCCTTTCACATTGAGACGATCTGCCTTGTTTCCCTGCACCTAACCGTAGGAGAGCAAAGGTGTTATTTTGGCTGAGATAAGAGCTGGGAGGAAGAGCCCGATGGAACTCGTGAATTGGAGCAGGAGCTGTAGGAGGACCTGAGATGAATGGAAGTCCTGCTATAAACAATGCCTCCGTGATGTTTGCTAAATAACAGGAGAGACCTCGGTGCCGTTCTGTTCCAGCAGTGTGATGTGGCACTGCTCGCATTCACCGCTGCTCTGAAAATAGCAGTTATTTCGATTCCTGCCTTAATTCTCCGCAGTCTCGCCCACAGGAGCGCAAGGATTCAAGTTATAAACCACTTTCCTTTTTTTTCCGACGGAGTTGGAGACGCCGAATCCGTTCCTGAGCGCCCAGCAGCCCTCTAGTGCCGCGCTCGTAGAACTGCATCGCTCTTCTCCGCAAAAAACTGCTCAAAGCGAAGCTGCCGTTTGGTTGAGCGAAGAACCGGCCTCGCGGCTTAGAGAAAGCAGTGCCGTCTGTATTGAGACAGTCTGGGAGCCCTCGTTTGTAACCTGGGATGGAAAAGACGTTTATTCTCTTAGAGAAATAAAGAGATTTTTGCAGAGCAGACGTCGCCGACTGAGTTCCCAAGGGAGGGGAGTGTTATCCCTAGAGAGCAGGATGGGATGTTTTGAAACAGGTATGAGGAGGAAGAGAAGAGAAGAGAAGAGAAGAGAAGAGAAGAGAAGAGAAGAGAAAGAAGAGAAGAGGAATGGAAAGGGAAGCAGAAGGAAAAGGAAAAAAATAAAAAAGGGAAAATGAGGAAAAATGGAGAAAAAAAAGAAAGGCAAAAAAGGGGGGAAAAAGGGAAAAAGGAGAAAAAGTAAAATTAAAAAACGGGGAGAAAGGGGGGGAAAGAAGAAAGTAATGAAAGGAAAAGAAAGGAAAACTGGGGGGAGGGGAAGGAAAAATTAAAAAAAAAGGGGGGGAAAAAAAGAAAAAAGAAAGGAAAGAAAGGGAAAGGAAGAAAAAGAAAGGAAAAGAAAAAATGGGGGAAAAAAAAGGGGGAAAAAAGGGGGAAAAGGGAAAAAAAAAAAAAAAAAAAAAAAAAAGCAAGGGAAATAATTCTGTGAAGAAAGCCTCACTTCTGCCACCTCCAGCTGCCCTTTCCTCACAATGTAGAGCATAGAAGAAGCCTGTCATTAGCAAATGAGA